GATACGCCTTGATATAACTGCAATACTGTTCACAGCGGCGTTAAACCAAACTCACTCACTCACTCTAAATATTCACAACTGGACACGCGGTGTTTGATTCGTCTGATGCGGATGGTTTCTTGCAGCTTCCTCTTTCTCAGTGGATTTTGGCAGTGTATGGAGAATAACATCTTCCCTAGGCAAGGGCGTTAACTGACTACAAAAATCCAGTTTCAACCCTTGCAGAACTGGGTTAGAAATTCCAGGCTCGATCTAAGCGCCACCAGTAGCTATTACGGGTTATGTCCCTTCTATGTCCCTCCAAATGACCAATCAGATTCCATCCCTCACATCACTTGCATTTGCTTCAAACAAAATGGCGGCGACCAGTAAGGGCGAACTGATCGATAATCAAAGTCTAAATTGTTATTAAATGAGTCTTACCTCGCGAAGTGCATCAAATAACTTGAGTGAGTGAGTGAGTTGGGTTTAACGACGCTTTTAACAGTATTCCAGTTACATCACGGCGTGTCAGCTTACTGTTGGAGGAAAACCTGAAATGATGCAGGTCTCAGGCGTTTACCACTTCGGTGAAACCCACGAGCACGGGTATGGTGCTGACAAACCTAGAAACATAATCGGGGCGAACCGGGATTCGGACCCACAATCATAGGTTTCTGGCGTGCCCAAGGGACGCAACTCCACACAGCGAATCGCGGCGCCTTAGACGACTGGGCCACCCGTGCTCCCCAAATCACTTGAGCACTGTGATTAAAAACATGAAAAGTTTTGCAAAATATCAGTCGACGCCCAGTTGGCGGTACACATGCTTTGCATATCCTGCAGTCGACAGAAATCTGCATGTTGAAATCGATATTGCTTACGAACCAGAAGTCTAGTTCATTACACGATGTTCATGGGACCATGCATAGTAAGTCCAGCCAAAATGTAACTCCGGAGTTCCAGCCTAGTTCGGCGAGGGTGGAAACTGGAGTTTCATAGTCAGTTAACGCCCTTGACTCGGGAAGATGAGATATAGAGAATCTCACCCGAGTGTCTTTTGATATCAAATATATCAACACGAGTTGATGAAAGTGGAAAAATTCCGAGGCTTGCCGAGGATTTTTGCCACTTTTATCAACGAGTGTTGATATATTTGATATCAAAAGAAACAAGGGTGAGATTTTATTTATCATCCAACATCATTCTTTCAACTTTTTCAATTTGTAGACAGTAATTAACAGTGTCTTCAGTGTAAAAAGTACTGCAAACTGCTTCAGTAGCAGAGCCATTAGTGATGTCATTTGATTGTGACGTCATGGTAACCAGTGACGTCACAATGGTCTGCAAAGCATTGTGATGTAATTTCATTGCAGCGATATCTACAGTGTAGATATCGCTTGATCTCATCCAAGCGATATCTCCTGTGAGAGCCAGTTTTGATGATAAAATACAGAAGTTGTATGACTTCCTGTGTCAAAGGAGAAAGCCGGTGAAGGCTTTCCGAGAATCTACTTGTTAAGTGTAGCTTCTTAGACTGTGAATATTGTGTCTTGTGATACATTTAGAAGTCTAATACTGCGAAAACGTCCATGTATATGTATAGAACTTTGCTTTGGTGGACTTTCACTGTCCTTGTAATGAGCAGGTAAGGGGAGTACATTTCTTGGTTGATACGATAGAGGTTTATTCCACTCGGGACACTGACAATGCACTAAATAACTGTACATTAGTAACGGATCAGTTTGTGTCTGACTGTGTATTTCACCATAGTGGTAAACATCTCTATAAAACCGTTTTTGGTTTTGGTTTGGTTTTTAGATATTCCATCTATATGACGGCGGTCTGTAAATAATCGAGTCTGGACCAGACAATCCAGTGCTTGACATGAGCATCGATCCACGAAATTGAGATACGATGACATGCATCAGCCAAGTCAGCGAGTCTGACCACCCGATCCCGTTAGTCGACTATTACGACAAGCGTAGTCGCCTTTCGATTTATAGGACCCGTGAAAATCCGGGTTAGAATAGGTCTTCAGCAACCCATGCTTGCCGTAACAGGCGACTATGCGACTAACGGGATCGGGTGGTCAGGCTCACTGGATTGTCTGGTCCAGACTCGATTATTTACAGACCGCCGTCATATAGATGGAATAATGCTGAATGCAGCGTTAATTAACAAACAAACAAACAACTTAGTTTAAGGATTAAATTCTTAATTCAAGATTGTCATGTGAGATCTCAAATTCAATGATGTCATTATTGTTCGAGTCAGCACCATACCCGTGCTCGTGGGTTTCACCGAAGTGGTAAACGTCTCAGACCTGCAGCACTTCGGGCTTTCCTCCCACATTAAGCTGACACGCCGCGATATAACTGTAATACTGTTAAAAGCGGCGTTAAACCCAACTCACTCACTCACTCACTCATTATTGTTCGAGTCAGTTGTTAAAACATATATTCTTCGACAGTTTTGGAATTTGATAGATTTGAGCCAAATTCAGTTTATTCAAAAGCTTAATACAAACAACCATTGACTACTATGGCTAACCAAATGAATCAGTGTTTTAGGTTTGTTGGTGCCATATGAATGGCATCCCTTAGCCACTGATTTGCCTTGAGTTTTCGTTGTTGTATGTCGACAACTAAACCTGTGTTTGTGGGTTTACGTGACCTATGAAAAAGAATGGATTCAGACATTTTTAAGCTGAATGTAGGAATGATTCTAGTTGTAATGTCTCTCAAATAACTCACAGAATTCCGATCCGATGACCACAAGAGCAGCCACATCTAGAAACTCATTAATGGCTATCAATCCTCTCCAAAGTGTTTTTTACTCAAAATATGTCCATATTTGCATTGGTGTTGTTGTAGCGGGACCTAACTCATATGTTCTATATTTTACGATGTTATGAATTTTGAATTGCGACATGTAATGGCTGAACTAGCAGAACCTTTCAGCACCTGTTTCAGAAACATTTATTGTTTTAACAGTATTTGTTTAAGATTTGAAGATGGGTGAGTAATGTTTATATTTAATCATAACACAAAACTGCAACTGACGTTCGGGGAATATTAAATCCGCTGACATTTTAAAAGCGACAGTCATCTGCCATTACATGAAAATAATTTCGTTTTTAGCCCCCGATGGAACCAACATGTTTGCGTGTGCCTGACTTTATACCTATACTTTTACAGCATTGAAAAGTGCCTGACTTTATACCTATACTTTTATAGCATTGAAAAGTGCCTGATTTTATACCTATACTTTTACAGCATTGAAAAGTGCCTGACTTTATACCTATACTTTTACAGCATTGAAAAGTGCCTGACTTTATACCTATACTTTTACAGCATTGAAAAGTGCCTGACTTTATACCTATACTTTTACAGCATTGAAAAGAGCCTGACTTTATACCTAAACTTTTACAGCATTGAAAAGTGCCTGACTTTATACCTATTCTTTTACAGCATTGAAAAGAGCCTGACTTTATACCTAAACTTTTACAGCATTGAAAAGTGCCTGACTTTATACCTATTCTTTTACAGCATTGAAAAGTGCCTGACTTTATATCTATACTTTTACACCATTGAAAAGTTTTGGTACAAATGCTATGAACTTGAAAAATATAGGAAAATGCTACACTGAAACGAATTTTGCAAACTTGCCCCAGCTTTAACTTCCGTTGTGGAGAGAAAGTCTGCCGTACACGATGGGTGATTTTAGAACGCTTCGTCCAGAGAGAGAGAGAGAGAGAAAGAGAGAGAGAGAGAGAGAGAGAGAGACATATATATACGGTTGCCCAATTGGACAGTGGGGTAGAGATGGTCCTAAACATATGGTACATTTTCACTGGTCCTAAATAGACATAATCCTCTGTATAGATGAGACCCAACCCAAAAAGGTACAAGGATTTGTACTTTACCATGAAAGATTTATCCCCAATATAACATTTGTTACATTTGACCACTTTCTAAAAGGCATAGTGTGTTCATAGGAAGGTGATGGGTAAGTAATTCATCTACTCTGTAACAGTAGGTTTATATATTGTTTTATTTTCTAACCGTATAAATTTAATTAATATGCTTAGATGTTTTAATACTAAATTATGCGTGCACGGACAGGGATATCTGATTTGTCACAAACATGGCAGCTTTGCAGAAAGCTGACTGAGTTACATGTGTTCTTCAGCAAGAAGAAGATTGGGTGATTCTACCAAAGGTAGCAATAGTGAAACTTGTTTTCATCAATACATTTATTTGTTTTGGCATAAGTATTGTTGCCTATGTTAATCAACGTATATAAAAAAATACTCAGCAGCAGAGTTTGCACTATAGGAATTTATATAAAAAGTGAAAACATACGAAATCAACATCAAATACCATTACCACATATATCTTAATTTGTCAGAATTAATCTCAGAGTTACTTCTGTTGTAAGTTGCCGTCTGGTTATGTAAAGCTGGCTAACATAGAGCGTTATTTATATACACATTGATTACCAAGGGGTTGAACAAGGTGAATACGTCACACATTTTATAATTTACAGATTTTTTAAAGTGTTTTGTTTTATAATAAACAAACAAAAATGCGTTTAAAGCCAAATGAACTTTGTACTAGTAACATCCAAAATGAGGAGCATAACGAAAATGATTATGATTTAATATGTTATTAATGATGCTGAAAGGCAGAAATTAAACCTATTTTCATATTAATACAAGAGAAGAGCATGTTTTAGACAGTGACAATTATTATTAGTCTCATATTCTCAGGAATCTGACAAATGGAGTATGATTAGGACTAATCCATTTTACCACTTAGGTAACAAGCTTTGGATAGTGCGAGAATCCAACCGTGGGATTTGTGAATTAGGTATCTGACAAATGGGGTGAGTCCTAAGGGGGTAAGTACGGTCCTGCCTGCTTGGGCATTTCCGAATGATCACGGAAAGTGCCGATATCTTGTGATTGCAACATTTCCAAGCTCCTTGCAGCGGTAGACACACGGGATATCGCTGTGTGGAGCTTGAACCATACGCGGAGTTCATATCTGACATGTTCTCTGTTTTGTTGATATGTGCGATGCGGTCCTGTTGAATTTGTGACGATGGCTTATACAGTTCACCCAGATCATTTTCACATCACCCTGAACACCGACTGTCTCCAAGATGTATGGAATACGAACCCATTTCAAAGACCCCTCATCGATGTGGTCAAGCCCGGAGGTTCTGTGGAAGGGGTAGTGCGAGTAACGGTCTCTGAAACACTACGATGCAATGGTAATCTACGGGGACATATTTTGCCGGTCCCTCCCCATAGAAATTGTATATCCAACATTATGATGAGAAGGGGATGAAATAAGCTTGACAGGATCAAACACTAACTTGCGTGCTTCTTAAATCTTACTCGATTAAACTGTGGGTGACCAGCTGTTACTGCGTCATGACAAAACCACTCCCAAACTGGGACCCCCGATGTTGGGTCATGTCTTGACCGTAGGACCCTATCCCTGCTTTCGTCTTGACCGTAGGACCCCATCCCTGCTTTCGTCTTACCGTAGGACCCCATCCTTGCTTTCGGCTGGCCTCACACAGCACAACGATTCCCTGACTGTAATGGTTATTTCTTGGTGGAGCTGGTTTACATATACATTTTGCCATGTGAAACTAAATTTGGAACCAAACCAACATTATACTATTGCATATGAGAGACATTGAAAGTGAGTAGCACAGATGCTTCGAAAGCAAAGTGATTCTGTGCTCTGAAACACATGATACATGTTTCTTAGGTAAATGACTTTTTCTGAATTAGCCTCTGTTCACCCAGCAACAAATGTTACCTGGTAGGATATTATGGTAATGTGACTGTTAAAGAGACTGGACGTCGACCATACTGAAGCTTTGTCTGTAAACAGTAGCCGATGACCCCGAGCTTACTCGTCTCTGGTCGCCTTATTTCGCAACAGAATGTTCTGTAACCAGACTTTTCTCTTGCTTTTAAACAAACACACTTATTCTGAAATATGAAGAGACAAGTCTAACATGTCTAAGTCATTCAGCTGTTCAGTGTGTTTTACATATGGTGTTGCATAATTATATAGACATACTACTACAATTGCGACAGTGAGGTGCATGACAATATAGCTTTACGCATCAAAGTGACCATATTGCTAGCTTTCTAGGTTGGCCGAAGGAACTCTGGGTGGGACAAAGAGAGTTATTCGCCTTCATATGGCCGAGGGGCGGTCGGGTAGCCTAGTGGTTAAAGCGTTAGCTCGTCATGCCGAAGATCCGTGTTCGATTCCCGACTGGGTACAATGTGTAAAGCCCACTTCTGGTGTCCCCCGCCGTGATATTGCTGGAATATTGCTAAAAGCGGTGTAAAACCTCACTCACTCACTCATATGGCCGAGGCATAATTATATTGTAAAATCTAGGCTTTGAGAAACACTCGCTTCTGATCTTATCAAGCTGGCAATTAGTATTTTGTGACCACCCATCTGAAGTTAAGCCAGTTTACTCTGCACAGCGCTTGCATTGTCGGCTGCACTGAGAAGAGCTCTATTGGTTTGGCTTGGGGCATGTGACATCACACTCGAAAAATTATTTCACGCATGATTTAAAAACACACAGATCTGTGAACGTACTGTCACTTTAACCTTCTAGTGCCTAAGAGGCGCCTTGTGTTGTATTCTCCCCAGGGAGCTGAGAATGACTTTCGAGAGCATACTGATTCAGTGACCTTATTATTAGGGCTGCAACGATACAGGAAGTTCACGATACGATACGCATATCGATATTCTGGTCACGATACGATACGTATCTCGATACGCAATGATAAAAAAACAAGAGTTAAAGCATTTCAAGATTGAACCTTTCATGATTTTGGAGCAGTCAAAATTATTTTATAATAACAAGACTGTTGAAGTTGTTCAGCTTCAAAGTGGAACTTTCTCTAACTTTCCTTAAAAACAATTCAAAGTTCAAACACCAGAAAATAATTAATGTGCTCCACCAGTGATACAACGTCAAAGAATTTTCATGCAATGGTCGAAGAAATTGTATCTGAAATTATTGTTTTATCAGGAATAATACATTCCAATATCGTGTTACCTTAGTTGCAGCTTTTACTATATATATATTTAAAATTATAAGAACCACAAGTGTAGCATTTTGGTACTGGTGATTGCTGTTGCAGGATATTTTTACGCATGGAACAATTTGACCAGTCACCCTCATGACCCTAGGGACTTCCCGTGTTACATGTATTTTGATTGCGAAAATGTTATGTTGACATATAATAGCCAAATTGCAACAAATATGACTTTTAATGAGTCAAAGTATGGCATTTTTAATATATGTATCCATTCTCTAGCAACTAAAGTTCGTTTCAATGCATCAAAAGCGGTAATCTGACCGTGGTTGCTGTATCTCTTCACACACGATTTCACCTAACTTAATGAAAACAATATTAAATGAAATTTTGAACTAAACTATTAAAATATATTACAAACACAAGTCCAGATATACCATGAACACGTTTTAATAACAAGATAGTATGATAATGGTATTGAATTGCGTACTTCAGTTCGGATTTGCTGACAGGTATGTCAGTGGTGGGTGAAATGGTATTTAACATTGCGTTCAAGAATTTTGCACTTATCATGCTTATATAGCAACGTGCATGCACATGTGTGTAGAGCTGCTTGTACTAGTCCGGACTGATGCCGATTTATAGTGCTAGCCCACTGAGATACCATGCTGCAGTTAAACATGAATACCCCACTCAGACACAGTATACTGACTCCAAGCTGACCTGTCATTGTTTTAGCCCTTTAATGCCGAGCTACAGATGTTACAGGGTAACAACAAGTACCATGTTTTAACGTCTTTTGGTATTACACACCCTTTGGTATTGAACACCCGACCTTCCACTCTCCATGCGGACGCTCTACCACTAGTCCATAGAGGCTGTCTTCGTCCTGCGGATGATTATGCAATGGTAGTATAAATAAGATGAAACATGTATTATATCTTCTGAAAAATCTCTTTGAAGTCAATAACCTGGTTATCAACATAGTTATAATTGAGGGGGCATGGGTGGCCCAGTCGTCTAAGGCACCGCGATTCACTGTGCAGAGTTGCATCCCTTGGGCATGCCAGAAACCTATGATTTGAATCCCGGTTCGCCCCGATTATGTTTCTAGGTTTGTCAGCACCATACCCGTGCTTGTGGGTTTCACTGAAGTGGTAAACAACTGAGACCTGCATCACTCCCGGCTTTCCTCCCACATTAAGCTGACACGCCGTGATGTAACTGGAATAATGTTAAACAACTGAGACCTGCATCACTTCGGGCTTTCCTCACACATTAAGCTGACACGCTGTGATGTAACTGGAATAATGTTAAAAGCGGCGTTAAACCCAACTCACTCACTCATTATAATTGAACTGCTTTAATGAGAAATTAGACTGTTTCAAGAACTAATGACTGTTGTTCAATCTGTTTCTTCTTGCAGGGATATTTCTGTCTGCAAGAGGACTCATGTGTGTTTGTGAAGGGCATTTCGATGCTGAAAATCTGTTCCTGCTCGTAGAAGATACTTTTCAAGGAGTCCAGGAAAAAATGAAGACCTATGACCACCATGAGGAAAGGGACTTAATGGTATTGCCGAAACTTCAACTGTTAGGTGATTATTATTCATTATGATTATGATCATGTATGATAGAGGCCCTGCGATGATCCTGGTTAGAATTGGTCTTCAGCAACTCATGCTCAGGCAACTAACAGAATCAGGTGGTGATTACAATTACCATTATGTAGATCGATGCTCATGAAGTCAGTCACTGGATTGTCTGGCCCAGTCCTGATTATTATCAGAACTCTGTCTGATAGCTGGAATATTGCTGAGAGTGGTGTTAAACAACAGACAAACAATAGTATGATAGAGGCCTTTGGCAATAACTTTACCTCTCCTCAGCTCCCCCTAAGATGCCCCCATGTGAATCACTGGATTTTCTGGCCCAGACTCAATTATTCAAAGACCGCCATCATATAGCTGGAATATTGCTGAGTGCTTGGTTAAACTACAAAGATAGGAAGAAAGATAGTAGAAAGTCCCTAGTAACCATATTAATAGCCTATGCTAAAAACAAGGTGACTGTCATGGTCAGGCTTGGTGCCTTTGTTGATTGTATGTCATTGTACCCAAACAACATAGTGCATTGCTCATCATAATCATAGGCTTAATAAGTTGTAAATCTGGAAAGTTTTCAAGCAGAAAGTGTTGCGAAAACTGCGAGTGACACTTGCAGTAGGTTCATGGTGCAGTTTTTACTGTAGATCAACAACAGACTAAAATGTAAGGAGGCATATTTCTCTTGTATGCTTCCACTCATCATCATGCTCATTGTCAACCAGCCAGTTCTATGATTAAACTAATCCCTCACATCCTGATTCTGTAATGGCACAGTGTCACTCAGTGTCAGTAGTCCAATCAGGAATGTTCACTAATCTGGTCAGGCTCGCTGACCTGGTTGATGCATGTCATCTTATCCCAATTGCGTGGATCGATGCTCATGATATCAATCACTGGAGTGCCTGGTCCAGACTTGATTATTTACAGACCGCCGTCAAATAGCTGGAATATTGCTGAGTGTGGCGTTAAACAACAAACAAACAACTAATCTGCCACATCTCATCAAGTTGCTTACATAACACTGAGTAGTCCAGACATACACCAGCCAGTTTATACCATCAGATAACACGCTACATCCCTTGTCAACTACAACACATGCATCTGTACTTTAAAAACCACTGACCATGATGACTGACACTGAGTTGCCATTTCATCATACTGCTTGGTACTTATGACAAGAGACTGGGCTACCGTCTGTAAGGACAAATTAAATAAACTTTGAGGCAATATCTATACACATTTCTGAACATTGATTGGTTACCCGTGATCTATGATGATTTTGATATTACAAAGGGTGCATGTTAATTAAAATCTTCAACCTAAAACAGACAAGGTGGCAGCTCATCAGATGTCGTTATTTGGTAATACCCCTGATGGTTTTGGTTTAATAAAAAAAAGTATCCCTGCAGTGAAAGAATTTTCGGACTTCGGATTGCATGGATAATACGATTGCCACTCCCTTGTCATCCATGTTTCCCGGTATAACATGCTTGCTACTTATCATTAATAACACATGCAGAAGTAGCTTTGATCCTTAGTGATCTCATCCACAGGGTTCCAAAACTTTCCAGATTCAGTTGAGGTCAGTGTTTGACAAAATTGGCCAAATTAAGTTTCCAGATGCAGTTGAGGTCAGTGTTTGACAAAATTGGCAAAGGTTTCCAGATTCAGTTGAGGTCAGTGTTTGACAAAATTGTCAAAGGTTTCAAGATTCAGTTGAGGTCAGTGTTTGACAAAATTGGCCAATGTTTCCAGATTCAGTTGAGGTCAGTGTTTGACAAAATTGTCAAAGGTTTCCAGATTTACAGTATCAACCCCCTGGTTGTAGCCACAGCACTGTATATGTCATGGTGGCACCTCGGTAAGTGTAGCAAGTCGACATTCCCCAGGATTGCGTGAATCAGTTTGAATCGTGGGGGATCTCACAGGACTGGAATAAGGACTTCAGGACTTATATGTTTGTTTGTCATTTATTTCAGATTGTAGAGAACAAGGAATTCTGCTTCCAGGAGAGCATCAACTTCCTTTCAAATTTGAAATCTCCACTGCAATGCCTTCCTCCTTCCGAGGTGAACATGGCTTCATCGCCTACTGGATAGAGGCCTCTATAGACCAGAGGCCATATGGAAATGACATCAAATGTCGGAAAGATTTCAACATACACGGCTTCTTTGACTTGAATCATGATGAGATGGCCTTGGTAATTACAATTCATACTTTAGGATAAAACACTTATCATATTCCTAAAATGCCTATAAACATGATAAAGGCCAAGCTTTCTAGCTCACCAGTACCAAATGTATACTGTAAGCATGATTTGATGTGATGTCACATCCAGCCACATGACAGCGACAATGGTCCTACAAAAAGCAGGCTTGAGATGGAAACAGCTTTTTCTTTTTTTCACCCTGAATCATCGCTAGGTGCTGTCTCCTTTATCGTAAGGTAAGCAGTAAATGCATTAAGGAGTAATGCAGGATTAGTATACAAATGTAAAAAATATTTATATTTTACTAAATTTAGATAAATTAATGGTTCTGAGGTGCTCCACAACCAACTTTTCAATTGGAGAAACTCTTTTGAAGTTTAGTAACAATTATAAATATCTTGGTTTGTGGCTCAACAAACACATGGACTTTAAGTTCACAATTAATGAACTGGCTAAATCGGCAAGCCGAGCTTTTGGTGTTTTATGTACAAAATATTTTGATGCTCGTGGTTTTACTTATGCAATTTACACTAAATTGTATGAATCCTTGGTTCAGCCTATTATGCAATATGGTGCTTCCATCTGGGGCTTGTATGAACATAAAAAGTTAAACACTCTGCAAAACAAAGCATGTAAATTTTTTCTCAGCCTTAGACGTAATGCGTCAAATATCGCCGCCAGGGGAGACATGGGTTGGAAATCATGTGTCACTAAGCAACGCATAGAAGTATTTCGTTTATTCTTCCGCCTTAACAGTATGGTAATTACAAGATTGACCCGTGTCATTCATGCTTGGTCAAGTAAAAGAGGGCGCTCATGGGAAAAGGAGGTTACAAGCTAGCTAGAAACTTAAACGTCGTCGACTTGATCGATGTCCATTCGATGACACGTGGCCAGTTCACTCTCATAAAGCAAAAAGTATTTCAAGTGGATGAAACTGCTTGGTTTTCAGAGCTGTGGAATTATTCTAATAACCCTAATGGTAATAAGCTGAGGACCTATAGATTGCTTAAGAAGGATCTAGCGCCTGAGCCCTATGTCTTTTCAAATTATATCCATAGAAACACCAGAAAATATTTGGCACTTTTACGCAGTGGCAGCCTCCCCATTAACATTGAAAAAATGAGGTACAGTCGTCCCCCTGTCCCCCTTAAGGATAGAACTTGCCCTTTTTGTTTTAACTCAGTAGAGACTGAGGTCCACTTCTTAATTGATTGTAACATGTATGAGTGCGTGAGTGTGTGTATGTGGTATGTGTGTGTGTGTGTGTGTGTGGGGGGGGTATAATGTACGTATGGTGTGTGCGTGCGTGTGTATGGTATAATGTACGTATGGTATGTGTGTTTGTGTGCGTGTGTACTTGTGCGTGTGTGTGTGCATGGTATGGTGTGGGGTGGGTGTGTGGGTACCCAAGTGTTTGTGTATGATTGTGTGCGTGACTTTATAAGGAATTTGGCGTGTGTGTGCAAGCGTGCGTGTTCATAACCTAACCTTAAATTTAAACATTGTGTTAGTATATGTCTTATTTTACCTTACTCAGATCATGACGTTATAATTTTCTTTTATGTCTAAGTGTCTCGAAGGCCATACCTGGTTGGATGTTATATTTTACTGTTCGTGTACATGTTTTAGTATGAAGTGAATATAACATGTGACACTATATTAAACATTATTCTCTCTCTCTCTCTCTCTCTCTCTCTCTCTCTCTCTCTCTCTCTCTCTCTCTCTCTGTGTAACCTGGTTCTGTCTGGTGCAAGTAGGTTTTCATGTTAACATGCATTTGGTGCAAATTGAATCAAGTTCTTTAAATCGAGCCTGCTTCAAGTAGGTAATTACGAGTTGAACTCTAACAGAAATATGTCTCACAGCCAAATATACACAAGTTAGCATCACTGATAGTACACTAGTCAGCACCAGTATGCAACTGACCCGATTTAAATGCGCAGAGGGTATTAAATCTACACAGGTATAAATTGTCACGACACCAGTCTAACTAGATAAACACGTGCTTGGCTAGATTCACTCCAAAGAACGAGCCAAGGCAATTAAATGTGTTTGTTAACAATATTTAGTCCGATACTACAGATACTACAGATTTTATCTAACAAAGCCAATAAGGCCATCATGAAAGGATGCAGTGTTTGCACTTTATGAAGATGTCTTGTATACAATACAGGCCCAAGTGGTTATTTGGATACTGCCTAAAACTGAATACCCGAGGGGATTTAACATTTAATAAGCAATAAACATACAAGGGGGCAGTCGCTCAGTCAGAACTTTGTCACACATGATGAAATAAATGCATACTTTATGCTCAAGGGTATACAACAGCATGCTTTATCATGGGTTTTTTAGGGCTATTTGTCTGTTCAGCTGTGACATTCCTGTATTTATCTATTGGATATAAGCTACCAATAATTGATAGCGAAAAACTCTTCGACCTACCATACAATATTAAGGTCATTCATAATTAAGTCCCATCTATGATGTCCTCAACAAATTACTTTTATGTTCTTCATTTATCGTGTTTATTTGTCACCTTTTCTTGTTCTTCTGTCAAAAGTTCTGTGAGATGATCAGCATGACAAGTCGAAGTATGTTGTCAATAGCCCTTTGGTTTATTTATATTTTTTTGCTTCAGGTTCCATATGAGGAAACATGTGAAGACTCCAACTGCTGCTTGTGTTGCAAAGACGGATTTTACAGTTTTAAGATTTCTTTACCGAAGAAAGGGTATGAAAGGAGAGAAACAATCCAACCAGTGATTGAGATAACGAACAACACGCAATCCAGTGTTCTTGCTCAGATTAAGTTCAGTAAGGTAAGTGTGTGTTTTGTTGTTCTTTCCACTCACCTGTTCTCAAACCTCAATCAAATTAATTGTGTTGTGCATATCCATTTGTTGGTCTTAAACTTTTACATCCAACAACCTCCATGATTTCACTAAAAGAAAACTAACAAAAGCAGTCCACATTCGCCGCCACAAGCCATCAATCAACAGAGATCAAGGCTATTTCATCCCATCCGCCTACTATGAACTCATCAAGCAATAATCACTTATCCTGTTTAATTGGCTTTCATGTCCCATTGGCTTCCACCTATGTGTTCTCTGTCCATCCTGTTGTGAAAGTATTGTCCCTTTGTTGTCAACACCTACCTATGTTATCCCACTCATGTATGCATCTGTTGTTACTGTTAATCCTCCACCTACTATATATATTCTGTACTATGTCCCTCATTCAGTCTTGCTTGACAACGGTATAAGGATCTATACCGAAACATCGCTTTTTACAGTATTAAAGAAGCTGTTATCCATAAAATTGTGTCTACCTTGTCAACCAGATCGGCTGTTCACATCCCTTCTTTGGCATCCATCTTAAACCCTGATGACCATGAAGATATCTTCTCGGGTCCGGTGAGATCTCTCCATATTTATCTCAAGGCTTCTGAGACGCTACAACGCTTCCGGAACAGACTCTTCAGTCCACTATCCATGGCGACCACCACTGAAGTCATCTGTACCACGGTCTCCTTCTGGTTCTGTGATACTTCATCCTATACCTTCACTGGATTGCCTCCTGTCGCCTGCATTATGTCCCTACACAGCAACTGCACGTTATCCGCCTTTATGGAAGGTTGTTTTTGGAAGTCTGACACAGTCTTTGCTTCCTACTGTCTACATGACATCTCAGTTACCGATGTCCAGGGCCTTCACCAGTTTGGTCCTTTGGTCCTGACACAACAGTTGACAGCAGCACAGATAACGATATTGTGTACCCTCTTCAGCAGCACAGTACACTAAATTACGCTTGTAACGAACTGGCGGATATAACGAACTGGTTTTTGGCTGTATATATGCTGTATATATGTTTATAATGAATGATGGTCATAACGAACCAAAATTAGTGGTCCCTTTGATTTCGCTATAACCGTAGTTTACTGTACCCTGTATCCTGTCCATACTGTATCGACATAGGAACGTCACTCCTTTGTTTACCTTTATTACAAGGCGGGTTCCCAGACTGAGTACCCATGGGAGGGTGAAGCAGCTCATCTGTAGAGGCTCAGGTCTTCAACACTGAAGTCACCACAAGGTGCGTCCGTTTCGGCTGTGTCCCAAACCCTTACCTGCTCACCTCTGCTTCGAGCACGTCATGTCTCAGTATCAGTTTGGAGATCCTCTTGTGGATGTTGTCGATCGGTACTTCTCCTCGTCTTAGCACACATCAATTCCCCAGGCATGATTGAAAGCTTTGATGAAGCGTTCATAGTGTGAATAAGGATAAGTATACAATTTATTGTGAAATTTTCAATTCTTTTTATTTTAGAAAGTTGAATATGCTGTTGGGGGACATACCTGGGAAGAGGAGTCTGTGAAACTGAACGAATACCACCGCAAGGTGGAGGCGGGGATGGATGACGTCTGGAGACCAGACATTACACTTGGAGACCAACTCCTGCCGTCAAGACTCCTACCATCCCTTAATACATGTATCAGGGTCATTTATAAACTGCATGTAAGTATTTGCTCCTTTGTCTGTTGTTGAACCCGGTATCAGTCTTGGGCACCAGCATAGTACTGTAAAATATATTTTAAGATGCTTCACTAATAGATCAATATGTCTGGCACCAACAGTACTTTACCCTTTTTGAGTTATGTCATAATGGGCTGACATGAAGTTTTCAGACTACCTCCCCCACTTTCATGATCTAACATATCTTCGGTAACATTGTTCTATCCTTTTTGTCAATCAAGATGGCACATCCACATCAATTTCCTGTCTTTTAACGGTGAAACTTGTGAGGTTACGGAATATTATACCCTGGGACAAAATCTGGTGTTGGCTTATCCGAAACATCCACAAACCACTGTGTCCCTTGCCACAGGAATGATCCTTGAAACATTACATAATCACACCTTCTGTTGCTTACAGGGTCATTTGTATAGTAACATACTCCAGTCAAACCAAACATCTACTGTTGCTTACAGGGTCATTTGTATAGTAACATACTCCAGTCAAACCAAACATCTACTGTTGCTTACAGGGTCATTTGTATAGTAACATACTCCAGTCAAACCAAACATCTACTGTTGCTTACAGGGTCATTTGTATAGTAACATACTCCAGTCAAACCAAACATCTACTGTTGCTTACAGGGTCATTTGTATAGTAACATACTCCAGTCAAACCAAACATCTACTGTTGCTTACAGGGTCATTTGTATAGTAACATACTCCAGTCAAACCAAACATCTACTGTTGCTTACAGGGTCATTTGTATAGTAACATACTCCAGTCAAACCAAACATCTACTGTTGCTCTCCCTCCACCATGTCCACAGCGACGCCATTTCACCCAGTATGTCGTCTTAGTTTCCATAGTTTAATAAAGGCTTCCAATTGTCATAGCACTAAGATCTCTTTGGGGAACTGGGTCCTGATTTTTTGCATTCACCAAATTAAGGTGATCGTAGCTCCCATTGTTTAACATAGGCGTACAATCCTCGTGGCACTGAGATCACTTTGTGGAACAGGGTCCTGAATATTTGCATTCACCAAATTAAGGTGATCGTAGCTCCCATTGTTTAACATAGGCGTACAATCCTCGTGGCACTGAGATCACTTTGTGGAACAGGGTCCTGAATATTTGCATTCACCAAATTAAGGTGATCGTAGCTCCCATTGTTTAACATAGGCGTACAATCCTCGTGGCACTGAGATCACTTTGTGGAACAGGGCCCTGAAATATTTGGGGTCGTCTTAGTTTCCATAGTTTAATAAAGGCTTCCAATTGTCATAGCACTAAGATCTCTTTGGGGAACTGGATCCTGATTTTTTGCATTCACCAAATTAAGGTGATCATAGCTCCCATTGTTTAACATAGGCCTACAATCCTCGTGGCACTGAGATCACTTTGTGGAACAGGGTCCTGAATACATTTGTATTTGCATTCACCAAATTAAGGTGATCGTAGCTCCCATTGTTTAACATAGGCGTAAAATCCTTGTGGCACTGAGATCACTTTGTGGAACTGGATCCTGAATATTTGCATTCACCAAATTAAGGTGATCGTAGCTCCCATTGTTTAACATAGGCGTACAATCCTCGTGGCACTGAGATCACTTTGTGGAACAGGGTCCTGAATATTTGCATTCACCAAATTAAGGTGATCGTAGCTCCCATTGTTTAACATAGGCGTACAATCCTCGTGGCACTGAGATCACTTTGTGGAACAGGGCCCTGAATATTTGCATTCACCAAATTAAGGTGATCGTAGCTCCCATTGTTTAACATAGGCGTACAATCCTCGTGGCACTGAGATCACTTTGTGGAACAGGGCCCTGAAATATTTGGGTTCACCAAACGTGAAGCTGAATACAGAAATTTTGTCCAACATGGTGTGTACTGGACACACAGCACATTAGAGCTGGGACGGGAAACTCGGGGGCTCGGGTCAGGTGGGTCAGATGTACGACCTGGGTACCCACAGTACTACCCGGACCCGTGGTTAGTCATGTGACATATTGTTTAATGACAAAAACTCACTATAGCTCAGTGGTTACACTACAAGTCGCTAATGTTCACATTTCTTTCTGATCTTCTTTCACATTCCTTTTGACTTGTATATGTTTGAGTAAAGATAAAGCTTTAGTCAACTTCAGTGTATGCATGATTTGATCGTTTCATAAGAGACCATTTATCTACATGATCTCTGGTTTCATACATGTATCTGAACAGTTTTTGCCATGGCTACAGTTAATCTATTCCCAATTATACATTTTGTTCCCAACTCTTGAGACCTACAGTGGATGCCTGGGTAGGGTCAGGTAATAGGGGGTCGGGTACCTGGGTAGTAAATATGGACTCGTCCCAGCCCTACAGCACATGTAGTTTAGAGCTAGTTGTCATGTGATCTGCTTCTACAGCAAATAAGTCCAGTATACACTTGCCAGACCACAGGGAAAATGGCCTGTACAAGCCAAAGTCAGATGTATGTTAGAATACTTGGGGAAAATAGCATCTCTGCTTGTGACTTATATCATACATATGTGTTGTGTATATTAGGTGTCTGTGAGGATGAATGCACTTCTGTGTGTAGGGGGTGGGGGGTCATTTGGTTTGTTGTGTGTATAATGTTTACATCATTATTAGACCCATGAAGATCCGGGGTAGAATAGGTCTTCAGCAACCCATGCTTGCCGTAAAAGGCGACTAGCTCTTGTGTCGATGTTCATGATGTCAATCACTGGATTGTCTGGTCCAGACTTGATTATTTACAGACCGTCGTCATATAGCTGGAATATTGGTGAGTGCGGCGTTAAAAACAAACAAACAAAAGCATGATTATGATTGTAATGCATGCGTGCGTGTGCTTATTTGGTATGAGTGTTGGCGTCTAAAATCCAGTCTCATCTTTCAAGCAAAATGTGCATTGCCTGAGTGAAATTTTCAGTCTATATACATATTGCCTGATTATAGACATCGACTGTCACATATACAAAAGGATGGTATGTTAAGGAATAAGTAAGAAAATTAGAAACAAGGAGATTATCTTTGTGTGTAGGTAGAGGGTCAAGGTTATATGAAGCAGGCTGTTTTGTGGTGTTATGAAAATCTGATCATTAATTCATTCTGGGTACCGTATTTTCTTGAGTATAGTGCGCACCCATGTATAATGCGCAACCGCCTCTAGCGGGTTCAATATTTTGGAAACAAAGAAATCTGAATATTATGCGCAGAAAAAAATTACACCGTACCCCTTCAGCGAAGTTCGGCAAACGAACGGGTGATGAGAAACTTCGTCAGTACAAATTCGAAATTTGAGATAAAAAATCACCAGACATGTTGATTTACCGTTTAAATTGTATATTTTGTTCAGCTAGGCATTGTTTTATGTCCAGGGATTAAGATTACCTTGTGTATTTTCTCGTTAACTAAGCCGGACACAGCAGTCAGCTGTACACACGTTTTCTTGGAATCTACCGGTGATTCGGTCAAGACACACCCAATGATATAACTTTACAGTATTTAAATGCAAGGATCGGCAAAAGTTGTATCTGAAACTATTTTTTTATCAGGAATAATATATATTCCAATAATTTACATGCAGCTTTTACTAAACATATTTAAAATAATAATAACCCTAAGCGAAGCAGCTGATCGCTATTGCCAGGTATTATTTTTTACATGGAACCAGTCTGACCAGTCACCGTCAAGGCTCCCATGCACGTGATCGCGTGATTGCGAAAATTACATGTTGACATAGAATCGTCCAACAAAAACAAATATGACTTTTAAGGAATCAAAGTATTGCATTTATGATATATGTATCCATTCTCTGTCAACTAAAGTTCGTTTCAAGGGGTCAATAGCAGTAATCTGACCGTGGTTGCTGTTAATAGCGGTGAGTTGTGCAATCTTCCGATCGCTTCGCACACGAAATTAATTAAAACAATATTAAAAGGAATTTTGAATAGAATTAATGAAATAAGTTACAAACATAAGTCCAGATATACAAAGAACACTTTTTATAGCCAGACAGTGTAATTACATGAATAATTTGCGAACTTCAGTGTGGATTTGTTGATCCGGTGTTACGTGCTCACGGTAATGTCTTTCCATGGGGGAAAAACCATCAAAACTCACTAATGCGCACCCCCTTCTACACAGCTGTGTTTTTTGGGAAAAAAAGTGCGCACTATGCTCAAGAAAATACGGTATATTAATAAATATTTCAATATTGCTAAAGTCAACCCTGTTGACGCTCTGTTCTTAAATAAAAACATATTATAATATGTTATGAAATAATTAATTCGGACCATTTTATGAACCAATTGGGGAATAAGATGTAGAAATGTTTGTGAATATACAGTGACATGTACATGTCATTTTAGATGCAAGCTGAAGTCTCTGGCTGCAATTGTGATCAAGTCAGTACATCAACAGAGATTTTTATTGGTGACACCGGCATGCCATTTGCCACTGGTCCTCTGCCAGTGATGACACAACCACTGCCTCAAACCTTTGTCTACGAGCAAGTTGACTTAACAGCATGTAGTGGTGGAGTACCAGAACGCCGGCCTTTACTCCCGGCTGGCTATCCTGAGAAGGGAGGAATCTCTGAGACGGGCTACCATCAGGGCTACCCTGGCGTTCCAAGACCTCCCATAATGCACCAGCCAGTCCCTCCCACTGCGCCACCTGTTGATGATCAACCACGTAAGATAACACAAATTTCCTTTTTATTCATTATCACCTCTTTTGTCCTAATTTGTACACAGAACTTCTTAGATATATTGACTTGATTGAATTTACCAAACTTTTTGATGTGGATGGGAAGGCTTTAAGGTTTTGGCAGCACCTTGTTTTTGAAACCATGTGGTGCTTGAACGTCCCAGAGATGTCATGTATGATAGATAGATATTCTTTATTTCTTCCAATTGAATGAAGATTACAATATGCAGATATAATTATGTTACATGTTTAACGTGAATTGGGGGTATATTTACACATGTTCATAAACATACAAATATTTTAGCAGGTATTGCCATTTCCTTATAAAGCGGCTTACATTAATTATTACTTCTGCCCACACATATCTTTCTAGTTCCATAATACATTGTATTGGACATCCAACAAGTAGGAACGCAAGAATAACATCATCATCTTTCTCCAAGGTCTTAACAAAAACATTTACATCCAGGATAACACATATGGTTTTAAAAAGTTTTAGGTCAAGGACACAGCGAAGATTATTTGTGAAATATGTTTTCCTTTTTCTGCAGACCTTTTTTGGACGTCTTATGCATGAAGTGATTATTTTGTTAAGTGATTTGTGTCATATATAGCCCTGGACATTGTGTTGACACCATGACCACTCATGTCAAGGGACAAGGTCATCATCAAGGTCATAGCTTTAAGAAAAGATTGTTTTTACATTACATATCAAGAATCATTTACTATATGTCAATGAAAGTTATTACCTTTCATCCTTTGGGTGGGGACCACAAGGTGTAAATGTGAGTGACCTACATGTTTTAGGTCAAGGTCACAGCGAAGGTTATTTGTGAAATATGTTTTCCTTTTTCTGCAGACCTTTTTTGGATGTCTTATGCATGTAGTGATTATTTTGTTAAGTGATTTGTGTCATATATAGCCCTGGACATTGTGTTGACACCATGACCACTCATGTCAAGGGACAAGGTCATCATCAAGGTCATAGCTTTAAGAAAAGATTGTTTTTACATTACATATCAAGAATCATTTACTATATGTCAATGAAAGTTATTACCTTTCATCCTTTGGGTGGGGACCACAAGGTGTAAATGTGAGTGACCTACATGTTTTAGGTCAAGGTCACAGCGAAGGTTATTTGTGAAATATGTTTTCCTTTTTCTGCAGACCTTTTTTGGATGTCTTATGCATGTAGTGATTATTTTGTTAAGTGATATGTGTGATTAATGATGACAATCTGGACCACCAAAGAATGGTTTTGAAAGTGACATCTCCACCTCCATCAGTTTTATCACTGTGTACTGAGCACAGAATTTCCTTGGTCATGGATGTGATTTGATTGGATAGCTATTTTAAGCATTGTGTCGCTGTAATCAGGTATAAAACAAAGCTGTGGCAGCAACTTGGTCCAGTGTACTTATCATTATAGAATGGACATAAATTGGATAGATAATCAGAAATTTACAGTTTTTGACTCCTTTGAAGCAATGAATTTATACAAACCCCATAATACAACAAACGTAGTTCAATCTGGACAAATGATCAGCCATGCTAGCAGTGATGAAAAAATACAGGGTCACAAACGTTGGGTAAATTCAATAACAGGTGTAGATAACAGTATCAAATGTTTTGGTTTTTTTGGATGTGAGTATTCAATGTGTGTTAAATAGAAGGAATATTTTGTTTATAACTTCATACCTTTGTTCCCAGCACCTCCGAGCTACTCTGAATGTATCCAAATGTCTGTGCTGTCTGGACCTGGGGCCCCATCGGCACCCCCCGCAGGTCGCCCTGCAGGATTCCCGCAGGATGCAGCTGCTCCCTACCCACCACCAGCACAGAGCTACCCCTACCACCAACCTGCAGAGGACCAATGGAAATACTCATGATGAAGTAGAACATACAACATGGACTTACACAGACCTGGGCAGTGGGCGGTGTTTATCCCTAAGTCTTCTTGTATTTACCTAGACCTGGGCAGAGGCCGGTATTTATTCCTAAGTCTTCATGGATTTATGTAGACCTGGGCAGAGGCCGGTATTTATTCCTAAGTCTTCATGGATTTATGTAGACATGGGCAGAGGCCGGTATTTATTCCTAAGTCTTCATGGATTTATGTAGACATGGGCAGAGGCCGGTATTTATTCCTAAGTCTTCATGGATTTATCTAGACCTGGGCAGTGGCAGGTATTTATTCCTAAGTCTTCATGGATTTATCTAGACCTGGGCAGTGGGAGGTATTTATTCCTAAGTCTTCATGGATATATGTAGACCTGGGGAGTGGCAGGTATTTATTCCTAAGTCTTCATGGATTTATCTAGACCTGGGCAGTGGCAGGTATTTATTCCTAAGTCTTCATGGATTTATCTAGACCTGGGCAGTGGCAGGTATTTATTCCTAAGTCTTCATGGATTTATCTAGACCTGGGCAGTGGCAGGTATTTATTCCTAAGTCTTCATGGATTTATCTAGACCTGGGCAGTGGCAGGTATTTATTCCTAAGTCTGCATGGATTTATCTAGACCTGGGCAGTGGCAGGTATTTATTCCTAAGTCTGCATGGATTTATCTAGACCTGGGCAGTGGCAGGTATTTATTCCTAAGTCTTCATGGATTTATCTAGACTGGGCAGTGGCAGGTATTTATTCCTAAGTCTTCATGGATTTATCTAGACCTGGGCAGTGGCAGGTATTTATTCCTAAGGCCTTTGTTTATCCCTAAGTCTTCATGAATTTATTTAGACCTGCTCAGAAGCCGGTATTTATGTCTTCAGGGATTTATCTGGACCTGATCAGAGGCCGCTATTTGTCCCTGTCTTCAGGGATTTATTTAGACCTGTGCAAAGCAAATGTCTTCACTCTTAAGCAAATGTCAGTAAAAATTCCGAAAAATACTATTGAAAGGTTCCCAAGTCATGTTAAAATATACCACTGAAAATGAAGTTTAAGAGCACCCAAGTTTTTATTGTGACTATAGTTAATCCGTCATGGCTATTGCATCATGCAGCCTTCCAATTATGGGTGTTTTGAGTAGTATAGTTATATATAATGTAATAGTTTTGTCGGATCAACTTGTATAGCAGTAATATCAGGACCAAGAAAGACAAAGAGGCTTTAATGCTGAGTTTTACATTCTTGATTGTAAATGTTAAGATGCAATGTTAAGATGCAATGTTAAGAGACCCCTGAATGTAAGAAAGTATGAATACATCTGCTGGACTGATGGGTCAGAAGAGTCTTGAGTTGGACTTCTGGTATTAAGTCAAAAGAGTCTTCACGGCACTTGTTACAAGCTTCAGTGACAGGTCCCGGGGATTTAGAAGGGGACTCTAGGGAGCTCATATTTTTATATGAATACAGAAATAAGAAATACCTTTGTTTTTTGGAAATCCTGATTAGATTGTCATGTGAACTGAGGTATACATTCTTCAAATAATGGTGTTACGTCAAATATTCAAGTCTTTCAATCATTTTGATAAAATGCTATTTTGATAAATTATGTCTGTGCAAAATCACCTGTTTTTCTTTAGTGCTTGTTATGGATGTAACCATTGATCAAACTTTCGCTTCATTGCGTCAATACATCAATGACACATTCAAAACATCAATAGTTCATAATCATCAATGTCATGCTACAATACTGATGTTGTTGATGGATGTGAATTAAATACTTTAAAAATATAGTCATTATATATTTCCATTACTTTTATTCTAACATACATGAAGAGTCTTCATTGGAGGACACTCCCTAAGCTCCCTAACATCTGAACCCAAGGCATGGTGGGTATTTTTAGCTTTGGGCTCATGTCCAATAAAGGAAATTAAAGGAGGCGTTCTTACCCAATCGTGGGCCGGTCGGGTAGCCAACATGGGTACAATGTGTGAAGCCCATTTCAGGTGTCCCCCACTGTGATATTGCGGGAATATTGCTAAAAGCGGCGTAAAACCACACTCACTCACTCACTTACCCATTCGTGACCAACTTGCGTTATTCCATCCAAGCGCAAATTTAAATTAACGGGCATAGTTTTAAAAGAATTGTCAACTCGTTGCGTAATGATTCACATATATTTCCACCATGTCATTTGTATATCAGATGCTATTTAAAACACATCGGGACTTACGGTATTTATACAGTATGATTAAACACATTTAGCTGTATGTTGGGTATATTCTTAGATGCTAGACATTAATGTGTGTAAAATCAAAAATTATTCCTGGGGGATTCTTTGACATACCATATATGACCGCGTATAAGCCGAATTTTGTACTTTAAGTCATACGTGCATTCTGATTGGTTTGTCATATTTTGGCACATACCATTCATCGATAGGGGGACGAGTCTTCTTGCAGGTTACAGAAAGGGGCGAGTGGTGACGAATGGTTCTTGCCATGCTTTCACAATACCCCTGCCATCAGGCCACTATTCCCCTAATATTGCAATAGTGTTTTTTGTACATTGCAGTAATGTTGCAACAGAAATAATGCCCCCAATATTTACCCCTATACATGTAACAATAGTTATATTTGGGATAACACTCTCAGTAAAGTACAGATTCTAGTACTTTTTGGGGTTGAGTTCCATCCGGGACCTAAACCCTAACTGCCAGAGTGAGGCACCTGATCACCAGCACACAAAGTCAGTGATCTAACCCACTCAGCCACCAAGGCTTCCACAAAAATGAAAGTCCGACAACTGGTAGTCTAGATGACATACTTTGTGTACCCCTCTGGCATGGCACCGAAGACCGAAAGCTATGAAGACACAATGCTATTTTAGGAAGTGGTCAAATGTAACAAATGTTATATTTGGGATAACACTTTATCATTTGACATTTGTTACACTGGACCACTGTCTGAAATGGCATTGTGTGTTCCTATACATGTAGTGTGAAGTGTTGTGTGGTATGTCTGTCACACACTGGTATGGAGGTCACACATGGTGTTCTCAACCAGCACAATGCTGCAGTATTTTATGAACTGCCATTTTACCTCACTCACTTTGTTGTTTTGTGGGGAAGCTGTTGTTTTTTTATTAGCCCCTTTGTTATTTCAACAATTGTTTCTGAAATTTGATACTTTTATTATCAGCATATGATACTATTTTTAGCTACAATGTTTTTGCCTCGGAAAGTTACTTCAAAGAGGGCCTGTAAGACATGTTTACATCATATAGAGTCCTGTAAGACATGTTTACATCATATGGAGGATGTGTAAGACATGTTTACATCATATGGAGTCCTGTAAGACATGTTTACATCATATGGAGGATGTGTAAGACATGTTTACATCATATGGAGGATGTGTAAGACATGTTTACATAGTATAGAGTCCTGTAAGACATGTTTACATCATATAGAGTCCTGTAAGACATGTTTACATCATATAGAGTCCTGTAAGCTGGTAAGACATGTTTACATCATATGGAGGATGTGTAAGACATGTTTACATCATATGGAGGATGTGTAAGACATGTTTACATAGTATAGAGTCCTGTAAGACATGTTTACATCATATAGAGTCCTGTAAGACATGTTTACATCATATAGAGTCCTGTAAGACATGTTTACATCATATAGAGTCCTGTAAGCTGGTAAGACATGTTTACATCATATGGAGGATGTGTAAGACATGTTTACATCATATGGAGGATGTGTAAGACATGTTTACATCATATGCAGGATGTGTAAGACATGTTTACATCATATAGAGTCCTGTAAGACATGTTTACATCATATAGAGTCCTGTAAGACATGTTTACATCATATGGAGGATGTGTAAGACATGTTTACATCATATGGAGGATGTTTAAGACATGTTTACATCATATGGAGGATGTGTAAGACATGTTTACATCATATGGAGGATGTTTAAGACATGTTTACATCATATGGAGGATGTTTAAGACATGTTTACATCATATGGAGGATGTTTAAGACATGTTTACATCATATGGAGGATGTGTAAGACATGTTTACATCATATGGAGGATGTTTAAGACATGTTTACATCATATGGAGGATGTTTAAGACATGTTTACATCATATGGAGGATGTGTAAGACATGTTTACATCATATGGAGCATGTTTAAGACATGTTTACATCATATAGAGTCCTGTAAGCTGGTAAGACATGTTTACATCATATGGAGCATGTTTAAGACATGTTTACATCATATAGAGTCCTGTAAGCTGGTAAGACATGTTTACATCATATGGAGCATGTTTAAGACATGTTTACATCATATAGAGTCCTGTAAGCTGGTAAGACATGTTTACATCATATGGAGCATGTTTAAGACATGTTTACATCATATAGAGTCCTGTAAGCTGGTAAGACATGTTTACATCATATGGAGGATGTGTAAGACATGTTTACATCATATAGAGTCCTGTAAGACATGTTTACATCATATAGAGTCCTGTAAGACATGTTTACATCATATAGAGTCCTGTAAGCTGGTAAGACATGTTTACATCATATGGAGGATGTGTAAGACATGTTTACATCATATGGAGGATGTTTAAGACATGTTTACATCATATGGAGGATGTGTAAGACATGTTTACATCATATGGAGGATGTGTAAGACATGTTTACATAGTATAGAGTCCTGTAAGACATGTTTACATCATATGGAGGATGTTTAAGACATGTTTACATCATATGGAGGATGTTTAAGACATGTTTACATCATATGGAGGATGTTTAAGACATGTTTACATCATATGGAGGATGTGTAAGACATGTTTACATCATATGGAGTCCTGTAAGACATGTTTACATCATATAGAGTCCTGTAAGCTGGTAAGACATGTTTACATCATATGGAGGATGTGTAAGACATGTTTACATCATATGGAGGATGTTTAAGACATGTTTACATCATATGGAGGATGTGTAAGACATGTTTACATCATATGGAGGATGTTTAAGACATGTTTACATCATATGGAGGATGTGTAAGACATGTTTACATCATATAGAGTCCTGTAAGACATGTTTACATCATATAGAGTCCTGTAAGACATGTTTACATCATATAGAGTCCTGTAAGCTGGTAAGACATGTTTACATCATATGGAGGATGTGTAAGACATGTTTACATCATATGGAGGATGTTTAAGACATGTTTACATCATATGGAGGATGTTTAAGACATGTTTACATCATATGGAGGATGTTTAAGACATGTTTACATCATATGGAGGATGTTTAAGACATGTTTACATCATATGGAGGACCTTGGGAGTGTACAAGTACATTCATCTACAATTGTGTCACTAGTGATGTGAGTTAAGAGTGGCACTTCTTTATTAATGTGGGGCGGTCGGGTAGCCTAGTGGTTAAAGCGTTCGCTCCTTACGCCGAAGACCCTGGTTCGATTCCCGACATGGGTACAATGTGTGAAGCCCATTTCTGGTGTCCCCCGCCGTGATATTGCTGGAATATTGCTAAAAGCAGCGTAAAACCATACTCACTCACTCACTCACTTTATTGATGTATCAGCGACCAGATCTCTGGTAGTTCATGGTATTGTATATTTGTAATATTTTGTATGGCACTATGAATCCTGTGTACTGATGTACTATATCACACTGATCTGATGAGTTTGTTTTGTACATTGTGAGATCTGCAGTTCTTTGTGTTTCTGTTAGTTCAGTTTGTGATAAGCAGAACTAGTTTGGTGTTTTGTTGTTCATAGCTGGCCTCTTAATATTACCAAACGATGTTTCGTGGCATTAATTTACGATTTGATAATAATCTGGTTTTAATTGTGTACAAATTCATTTAAATGTGTCTGCTAAAATCATTAAGAGGGGACACTATATTTGTTTATTTGATATAATAATATGTATTTGTGATATTAATCATAATTGTATGTGATAGTATAGCATGCTTTAAACATTTAACACATTAAAGATCTGTCCTTGTTTGCCATTTATGTCATTTAATCAAATACTCATTTATTTTGAGTGTATTTACTGGAAAAGAACATTTTATATTCCAGATTGCAAACCATTTGAATTTAGGTGTGAACCAAATTTAACTGTTATTGAATGAATGTGTCTGAGTTCTGTAGGACATGAAAGGAGGGTACATGTTTTTTATGTTTGTTTAAAATGAATATTTGCTGTGTTTTACATGAATGCTTGGAGTATTAGTTAGAATCTCATCATGTGATATATTTCCAGGTCAGCATGTCCTGCTTGAGGCGTTGTCTATGTCATTTGTTAGTACAGGCTATAAGCTGAGTGAGTGTTCCGTATCAGAGACGTCCTATATCAGGAATAAGTATTGTCTTGTGAGAGCCTTTTGTGGGCGTAGTAAATAGTTTTTATTCCTAATGTGATATTTAAGATACAGAAACACACAAGGGTAATAATCTGTTCATTATATAAAATCATTCTTAAAATATTCAATATTCAAGAAGTAATTTCACTCAATGAAGTAATTTTAGAAAATGCATATGAATCCAACCTTTGAGTGAGCTATGTGATTGTGTGTGTGTGTGTGTGTGTGTCTTCCACAGTTGAAACGCTGAAATAGTTGTAACTCCTATTCCTTAACATAGACTTACAATAGTTGAAGTGCTCAGACAGTGCAAGGAGTTCAAGGCTGCCAATTCCTTAGCTGTGGATGGAGAAAATGAGATTGTTGATAAAACATTCTTTGATCAGTATCATCAGTAAAATAGAAATTTAGAAAAAAAACTATAATTTTTTTCTATAATAAAGACCATGCCCTATACAAAGTTCAAATCTATAACTTTTTTGGGGGGGACAATAGAACTGTCATATTTAAATGACCATCTGTAGATTTCTCATCGTTACAAATCATAACAAATTGCTCAAGAAAAGGGTACCATACCCCTCAAGTATGGTATACAAATGTCACACCTTTGTGTTCATTAGGGGGGTGGGAAGGAGGGGGGTATCTCCAGCCTGAAGACTGACGTCCTTTTCTCTGTTTTATGAATTTTTCTGATACATTTTATGTGCTCCTTATAAATGGCAGTTAATTTTCTTGCAGCTCATTATTTTTTTTGTATGGCATGGGTGGCCCAGCTGACCATGGTGACACAATTTTCTCTACAGAGTTAAGTCCCTTAGGCAGACACCCATTATCAGGGGTTTGAATCCCAATTCTCCCTGATGTTTGAAGGTTCATCAGCACCAAACCCATGGCCCTTGGTTTCACCAAAGTGGTAAACATCTGAGATGTTCACGAGTTCGAGCTTCCTCCCACATCAAGCCAGCATGCCATGAAATAAGTGAAACACTGTTCAAAGGGTGTTAATCCAAACTCATTCACTCATATATATATATATATATATATATATATATATATATATATATATATATACTGATTATGTTGTTGTCATGAATAGAATTGAGATGCTCTCCTTACTGTGCAATAATAGTTCGACATTGTTGTGTACTATATCTTAGTAATATTCACAGCATGCTTTCAGATATGTTTGTTAAATATTAGAAATATTACCATGTATTCAACCAGAAAAAGTGAAAATGAATAAATATTTGAAGTTAACAGTGTCTTGTCATTATGTACAGAAGAAGTCGACATTGAATAAATGTTCCCTTGTCCAGATGCCAAGGTGTTTGTCAACATGTGAGAGTCTTGCTGTATCCCTGAGCTTGTTGGGTCGTCTGTCCTGTTTAGATTCAGACTGGTGTTCCAGACCATGAACAAATGACCATCACTGAAAGAGATACAACAACCATGCACAGGGCTGTCATATTGTGCAACATGAGTAGTTTGTTGTTTTACACAGAGTCAGCAAAATTCCAGCTCTGTTACCGCGGTCTGTGAATGTCAAGACTGGGCCAAACAGAATCAACCCTGTCACCAAGTCTGACCACCCAATTCATGTTAGTTGACAAGTGTAGGTTACTGGGAAGATGGTCTCTCCTGGGATGCCCATGAGGATTCTAAACATCTGCTTGTCCTGTGTCATACTGGATCAGACTGGGTCATACAGGGTCATACAGACTCATACTGAATCATTCAGAATCAGCATCACTGGATCATGCGAAATCATACTGGATCAGACAGCATCATACTGGGTCACACTGGATCATACAAGTTCATACAGGATCATTCAGAATGATACTGTGTCACACTGGATCATACAGCATCACACTGGATCATACAGAATTTTACTGGGTCACACTGGATCATAGTGTATCATACTGTGTAAAAAACAGTCATACTGGATCACATGGGGTGTTTGACCACCTTGGTGAGTGAGCTGTATGAACAATGAAATATTATCCCATCTGGTAGGGCATGACTATTGTTGTGAGTTACTTGAGAGATGAACTTACTGTTTTAAATTTACAGCTAGGTTAATCGTAGCACGTACTGACTGAAGAGCAGGAGGTGTCAAATATTGATTTTAGCACAGTTACAAATCAACAAGCAACTTAGCTCTTCATGAACTGCACAGTATGTTCAATGAAACCAGTGAGGATGGGATGGGTATCATGTGCTGACACACCAAGGGTCATAATCAGGGAGAATGCAGTCCAGAGTCTAACCCACCATCATCAGATCCAGTAACGACGCCCGAGGACATGACTGTCTGTAGACAAGTTAAAAGCAGTATTGATGCTTTATAGACATCAATAAATAAACATTTAATTATATTGTCAGTTCCTGTTGATATTTTACGAGTGCTTTCTTTCCCTGAGATGCATTCCGTCCCTTTGCAGACTTGTTTACACGGAAGTCTCATTCCATCGAGCTCAATACAGCGCGTGCTCTGTCTAACATGTAAGATTCACCCAAACAGGTCGCGGAAGGGAGCTTACGTCACAGCTGACGCTTCAGCATGCGGAAAACTATGCCGATACAAGATATTGTTTTATGACTAATAATAAGTGTATAGAGCACTGTGTACCAGAAATCGGGGACTGCAGGTATTTATAATTCTTTTGCACTAGGAAATGTTTGTATGATGATTTATGCAACAGTAGTTCTTGCAAGTTTGACAAAAACTGCGAAAGTGATATTTTTCAGTTATCATGGTAACCTAGCTGTGGCAATAATAAAATGTTAGACATGCATCCCTGTTGTATAGAGTTTGTAAATATCGCAAAGAAGTAACACATAAATCAATCACATTTGTACAGTCTACGTTTGCACAGTCGACAACTATATTCAAAGCCGCATATATTCCTCAGTTTATGTTGTAGAATCTACGTGAAAAAGAGAGTGTGCAGGAACACTGATTCCAGAGGTACACACTGATACTGTAGCTGACGAAGTATAGAATGTTGGTCTCTGGACCTCATCACGGCACTGACCTGGACGTTACATTACTTGCCAATCCTACCCTGTAGCAATCCTACAACAAAACCTACCCATAAAAACACATACTGTATTCGACGTAATAAGCGCACAGGACGCTCTCAAAATTAGAAATAGGGGGCTCTTATTAGAATATTATTTTGGTGAAAAAAACAGAGTTGAAGGAAAATTTTTGAGGTTTGTGCAGACAGCCTGAAATGTTTATATACGATAGATATATTTTTCCAGAACTTAATTGCCCATAATTAAGGGTGCATATAACACACGAGTGCGTATTATAAGCCAATAAATAAGCCTTGTGTACATTGATCAATCGGAAGCTGTGCTAATTGGGATTGTTCTCTAGCCAATATATTAGCAAATATCGCAGTGGGCGCTTATTAGATGTATTAATGTATCATTGCATGTATAACATGCCATGTATAGGAACTTATAACAAATGTTATATCTGGGATAACACTTTCTCAGTAAAGTACAGATTCTCGTGCTTTTTGGGGTTGAGTCCCATCCAGGATTCGAACCCACACTTGCCAGAGTGAGGCACCTAATCGCCAGCACACAAAGTCAGCGATCTAACCCACTCAGCCACTGAGGCTTCCATATAAATGAAAGTCCAACAACTGGCAGTCTAGATCACGTACTTTGAGTACCCCTCTGACAAGTGTAAATACACACTGTCATTTTAGAAAGTGGCCAAATGTAACAAATGTTATATTTGGGATAACACTTTCTCAGTAAAGTACAGATTCTCGTACTTTGTTGGGTTGAATCCCATCCAGGATTCGAACGGGACTAAACCCAAAAAAGTATGAGAATCTGTATTTCCCTAAGGGTAATATGGCCTTGCTCCCTATTATGACAATTGATAGTTCAGTCAGAAGAAAATGTTTCTCCTTAGCAGGATCAGATATATATCATGATTATCTTTTTTATTTACATTGTGCCCAGCTGATCCAGAAAGATGGGCGTAACAGGACTGTGGCCATTTTTGTCCGGATTGGGAACCGGGCAGTCTCTGTCCAAGTCAGCAGGGATGACCCTTGCAGTAGACCTCAGTGCATGGATATGTCAGGCCAGGTCTGCTAGCACTGCAGTCAAACAGTCTCCACGCTTCTTCATGATCAGGTAGGATGTGTTCACATTGTACTTTTCATGGACAATCTGCTTCAGGTGTCCAATCTGTGCCTTTATGCACTAGCCCCCAAAGCTGAGAATAGTCAACTTTCTGATTGGCTGGTTAGCCTTTATACATGTCCTACATTTGAAATTATATTGTCGTGGTTGCATCTCTTTGTGCTGGAGGCAATTCAGCAGGCTGGCTGAGAAGTCACAGCGTGCACGAAATTCTGCAATCTAAAGATTAAGAGTGAGTAATATGTTGAAAAAGAGGCTGAATGACAGGTTCAGACTTTCCGGTTTGTGTTTGAGCTATTATTTCAACACTATTTCTTTGGATATAATTTTATGTAAACCCAACATTTTCTTAAAAAAAGATTTTCATTTTATGAATAGAACCATCTTCTACCGGACAATTGAGCTATTGAAGTACGGGGTGAAGCTGGTGTTTGTGCTGGATGGTGAGGTTCCCAGGCTCAAGCAGGTGTGTCTTCACAAACGCCAAACTGTGCGCGGGTTGTCAAGAGCAACCAAAGCCGGAACTTCCTCGGACAGGTCACACTACAAGGAGACGACTAAAGTGGTATGACAACAACAGTCAATTTACTGCTCACCGTGGATGGCCATTTCTCTGTGCTAACGCTGGGTAACATGGAGCAACTTGCTCCGTCGTCTGGTTCTGATTATTACGCCTATTAGGGGGTGGTGTTGGAAGAGATTGCTGACTATATTTCTATTTGAATAAGGGGCAGTCGGGTAGCCTAGAGGTAAAGCGTTCGCTCATCACGCAGAAGACCCGGGTTCATTTCCCGACATGGGTACAATGTGTGAAGCCCATTTCTGGTGTCCCCCGCCTGATATTGAAAGGCTTGGTCTGAAATGATTTCCAAATAGTTCAGCTGCTTGAAACTCTCGGTCTGCAATGATTTCCAAATAGTTCAGCTGCTTGAAACTCTCGGTCTGCAATGATTTCCAAATAGTTCAGCTGCTTGAAACTCTCTGTCTGCAATGATTTCCAAATAGTTCAGCTGCTTGAAACTCTCGGTCTGCAATGATTTCCAAATAGTTCAGCTGCTTGAAACTCTCGGTCTGCAATGATTTCCAAATAGTTCAGCTGCTTGAAACTCTCGGTCTGCAATGATTTCCAAATAGTTCAGCTGCTTGAAACTCTCGGTCTGCAATGATTTCCAAATAGTTCAGCTGCTTGAAACTCTCTGTCTGCAATGATTTCCAGGTAGTGGAGCTGCTAGAGAGTCTCGGTCTGCCAGTCATCCACAGTCCAGGGGAAGCAGAGAAGATGTGTGCCTTTCTCAACTCTACACAGGTTCAGTAGCTCACTCTGTCTTCTTCAACATGTTCAGACCGCCTCCGTGGTCTTATGGTAGAGCGTTCGCCCGGAGAGCGGAAGGTCCGGGGTTCGAGCCCCAGCTGCGTCATACCAAAAGACAATAAAAGATGGTACTTGTTGTTACCCTGTCTGGCGCTCGGCATTAAGGGGCCAAAACAAGGACTGGTCGGCTCGGAGTGGGGTATTCATGTTAAACTGCGGCATGTGTGTGTGTGTGGCTGCTTGTACTAGTCCGGACTGATGCCTATTTATAGTGCTAGCAAACTATAAATAGGCATCAGTCGGACTAGTACAAGCAGCCACACACACACACATACACGTGCATGCACGTCGCTATATAAGTGCAATAATCTTGGACGCGACGTTAAACCCCATTTCACCTCACCTCACCTTCAACATGTTCAATAATCTCAATATGCAGTTTCAGATGAAATATTTATTCATGAATACACCAGAAAGTGAAGTTAAGATGAATGTGTTGTTTTTTGTCTACAAGACTCTTGATTTTGCTTTTGGCTCATTTGTAAACTGCAAAAGCAAATAATCATTTCAGAAATTTCTGACATTTTTTAGATTTTAAACTTACTAATTGTCCAGTTGCATTTTGTTTTGTTTGTCCTTTTTTGTATTGTGTTGTGATATTGTATTTCCCTGATTGTCCAGCGGGCTGATGCTGTATTGACTGATGATGGTGATGCCTTCTTGTACGGGGCAGGGGTCATCATGAGGAAATTTGATAAATCAGTAAGTTTGCTAACTTGATATGCTTTAACCTTAAAGCACAGACACTTGACACACTACATGACATCTGATATTATCCAATAACAATCCAACCCATTCAGGGATAGAAGTCAATATTGATGATGTGGCAGGTTAATGGTATTGACATTGTGACGAGTCTATATTTGAGGTCAGTGTCAGTCATGTGATCTGACCAAACTTTTTTTGGTCCATTTTCTATTGTTACAGCATTCAAATATATTGTTTCTCCACATGATAGGCCTATTGATTAACAAATCAAGATTCTTAATAGGTGTATTACAATAGTCAACTTGTCAAGTCATGAAAACGCCATTAACCTACCATTGACTGGTACCATTGAAATGCCACATAAAATACTATTAAAATACCCTTAAAATCTACTTAATGCGAAGCAAATTTAAGGGCATAATACCCTGAAACATAACCATTAAAATTACTTTTTAACATTATTAAAACACCAAATTCAAGGAGTTAAAATACCATTAATTTGTGAATTTAATGTCGGGAGTTCTGTTGTTTTTAATGGTATTATATACCGTAAAACTCACTTATTTAAAACAGTACATAATTAATGGCCATGAAAAGAATTTAACCACTTAAAATTACAAACCAAGGGGTTTTAAAGGGTTTTTTCTGGCAAAGACTAAAGTGACACCCAATGAAAATGTCATTAAAAATGTTATAGTTCCAATGAAAATATATGCAAACCTGATATAGCAAAACTATTACTGACTGGAACATAAGATAACATCCACTCATTCACAATCTGTTTCCCAGGACACTTCAGCTGTGAGAGTGAGCATGGCTGATATTGAAGGGGAGCGCGGCCACACAAGGAGGAGCCTGATTGGCTTCGCCCTGTTGTCTGGGTGTGACTACAATGAGGGTGGGGTGAAGGGGGTGGGGCCGGAACAGATCAGGACATTGTTCGATGAGATGAGGCGGCACTGCACTGAAGACGAAGACATACTCCACAGGTGTGTTGTCCAGTTTGTTAGGTAACCATGGTAACAGCATATCACTTTGCATAGCTATTTGTTCTTTTGGTTAGGTGTTATAACAATGGTGTGACAATTACCATGTGTTTCTGTTACCTCATCTTCTATTAGGGGCGGTCAGGTAGCCTAGTGGTTAAAGTGTTCGCTCGTCACGCCGAAGACCCGGGCTCGATTCCCGACATGGGTACAATGTGTGAAGCCCATTTCTGGTGTCCCTCGCCGTGATATTGCTGGAATATTGCTAAAAGCAGCGTAAAACCATACTTACTCACTCACTCACTCATCTTCTATTACAGCCCCTTGGGGACTCCGGGTTAGAAATGTCCCCAAGCAAACTGTGTTGGTCATAAGAGGTGACTGAATAGATTGGGCGGCCAGGCTCAATGACACAGTTGAGTGATGGAGTTTATACCCCAGTGGCATGAATTGTTTCTCATAATATCAATCACTGGATTGTCTGGTCCAGACTCAATAGTTACAGACTGCCTTCATACAGCAGGAGTATTGCTGAATGATTTTGAACAATAAATAGAGATTTTATTTATCATCCAACATCATTCTTCCAACTTTTTCAGTTTGCAGACAGTAATAAGCAGTGTCTTAAGTGTAAAAAGTACTGCTAACAGCTTCAGTAGCAGAGTCATTAGTGATGTCATTTGATTGTGACATCATGGTAACCAATGATGTCACAACGGTCTGCAAAGCATTGTGATATAATTTCTTTACAGCGATATATATCTATCTATCTCACCCAAGCTATATCTCCTGTGGGAGTCAGTTTTGGATGATAAACAAGAATCTTCTATGGGATTGATGAAAGAATAATGAACTGGAACCAGTATAATAAAATTAGCAGAAAAGTGTACTTGTTTTGCTCTCTTCTGTGCCATACGCCAGGTGATACACGTCCTCACTGGTTTCAGCAAGTAGTAGCCTGTGGGACCTGCTTCTCTGGTGACAGGATGTAACTGGAAGCATTACACCCAGTTCACTCATCACTCACTCTCACACTATGTTGCTTTATGCCACTGTGAGTGGTTTAACACCACTTTGAGCAACATTCCTGCAGTACGATGGCAGACTAAATAATCGAGTCTGGACCAAAAAAGTTAAGTTATTGATATCATGTTTGTTTGTTGTTTAATGCCGCACTCAGCAATATACCAGTTATATGACGGCGGTCTGTAAATAATCAAGTCTGAACAGGACAATCCAGTGATTGACATCATGAGCATCGACCCACATAATTGGAATATGATGACATGCATCAACCAAGTCAGCGATCCCGACTACCCGATCCCTTTAGTCGCCTCTTACGAAAAGCTGAGTCGCCTTGATATCGTGAGCAACTATCCATAATATTGGGGTAAGATATCACGCAAGCAATCAAGTCACCCAGTCTGACCACCCAATCCATTTGGTCGCCTCTTATGACCAGCACATGTTCTCACCAGGAACGTGACACTTATACTCAACAACAGTAGTTACAGTGGTCATATGTTCTTATTCATAATGTTGGATTGACTCTCTTTGTGGAGGGGGCACGGGTGGCCCAGTCGTCTAAGGCGCCGCAATTTGCTGTGCAGAGTTGCGTCCCTTGGGCACGCCAGAAACCTATGATTGTGGGTTCAAATCCCGGTTCGCCCCGATTATGTTTCTAGGTTTGTCAGCACCATACCCGTGCTCGTGGGTTTCACTGAAGTTGTAAATGTCTGAGACCTGCATCACTTCAGGCTTTCCTCCCACATTAAGCTGACACGCTGTGATATAACTGGAATACTGTTAGAAGCGGCGCTAAACCCAACTCATTCACTCACTCTTTGTGGAAGATTTCAAGTGTTCTGATGTTTCATTGGGATGAAGATGGACTTCATCGGCTTTCCAATGATTTTAAATTAAATTTTGAATTCAGATCTGCCAACAATTTGTTTGTACTTTGATAAGTTGGTGTGAAATGTTACTTTCTTGAACCAATAGCAATGTACTAAAGTTTAAAAGGGAAAGAAAATATGAAGTGTGACTTTTTTACCCTTGTACACATTAAGCTACCTGGTCGGTGGTTTGTAAGACTGATCTGCCAGCAGTCCATGTTGTCATAGGTTCTGTGGAGAGCAAGTGGCCCTATTGTCTGGGCTGCTCAAACTGGCTGTGCATGACAGGATCTAGACCAACATTTAGTCCCAGTAATTAAGTTATCCTATTTATGAATATATATCTACAAAATAAAAAAAATCCAAATGGAGCCAAGAACAATGCTTAATTTCAGTGCTGAGGCAGTCTAGACTTGCCAAATCATTCTAGACTTGAGTTGGGTTAATTTTTATCCCCCGCCCAAGAAATTTTAGACGTTTTTATTTTTTTTACATCTGCTTCATTGGACTGTGAATCTGTTCCAGAATCCTTGGATGGAAAGACAACCGTAGTCTACTAGATCTTGCTGAGATGAAGAAAACACTTGACTGTTCCAAGAGAGAGACCCACTGCTCCAGGTGTTGTCATACAGGTGAGTTGAAGAAAACACCTGACTGTACCAAGAGAGAGACCCACTGCTCAAGGTGTTGTCATACAGGTGAGTTGAAGAAAACACCTGACTGTACCAAGAGAGAGAGACCCACTGCTCCAGGTGTTGTCACACAGGTGAGTTGAAGAAAACACCTGACTGTACCAAGAGAGAGACCCACTGCTCCAGGTGTTGTCATACAGGTGAGTTGAAGAAAACACCTGACTGTACCAAGAGAGAGAGACCCACTGCTCCAGGTGTTGTCACACAGGTGAGTTGAAGAAAACACCTGACTGTACCAAGAGAGAGACCCACTGCTCCAGGTGTTGTCACACAGGTGAGTTGAAGAAAACACCTGACTGTACCAAGAGAGAGACCCACTGCTCCAGGTGTTGTCACACAGGTGAGGTAAAGAAAACACCTGACTGTACCAAGAGAGAGACCCACTGCTCAAGGTGTCGTCATACAGGTGAGTTGAAGAAAACACCTGACTGTACCAAGAGAGAGACCCACTGCTCAAGGTGTTGTCATACAGGTGAGTTCAAGAAAGCACCTGACTGTACCAAGAGAGAGACCCACTGCTCAAGGTGTTGTCACACAGGTGAGTTGAAGAAAACACCTGACTGTACCAAGAGAGAGACCCACTGCTCAAGGTGTTGTCATACAGGTGAGTTCAAGAAAGCACCTGACTGTACCAAGAGAGAGACCCACTGCTCAAGGTGTTGTCATACAGGTGAGTTGAAGAAAGCACCTGACTGTACCAAGAGAGAGACCCACTGCTCCAGGTGTTGTCATACAGGTGAGGTAAAGGAAACACCTGACTGTACCAAGATAGAGACCCACTGCTCCAGGTGTCGTCACACAGGTGAGGTAAAGGAAACACCTGACTGTACCAAGATAGAGACCCACTGCTCCAGGTGTCGTCACACAGGTGAGGTAAAGGAAACACCTGACTATACGGGCTGGGATTATGTTTGGAGACTTATATTTTTTCAGCTCCAGCAACAAAACCAGAAATTTTGTTAATTAAAAATATAAGTCTAAATATGATTTATTTTAGAAACATCTTGAGAAAAAAAATTCGTGGCAGACAATTTCACTGAAATGGGTTTATGTTTATTCAGGAACAGTGACAATTCACCAGAGTAAAGGATGTGAAGTGTGCCAGACAGAGTGTGAGTGCCAGCCTGATAGCGGAGTGCCATGTGACTGCACGTGGCACCACCAACAAAGGGAGATAACTCCATATGGAGAGGAACTGAGAGTGCGAGACAAGGCCCTGGAGGACACAACATTTACAGAACTCAGTGAAAAAGTAGGTGTCAAAACATCAGTGTCTAGTTTATAGAGTGAAGGTCCTAGCAGCCAAAGGTTAAGAGGTGTCATTTTTGGTTGGTTTTACAGTTTTACTTTGGAGAGTTTTACTTTAAAATCCTAATTGGTATCACTATGTTAAATTTGCGTCATGTAGTTGTGAATGAGGATGCCCTTGTTCAACTCCTACTTGTTTAGATATCCATAAGCCCTGGCGTATATATATATGTATGTTCTGTACTTGGTAAGAAGTACAACAAATCAGGGATAACAAGAAGCAAAGAACACTTATAAATGTAAACCACCTTGGTTTGGAAGTTGATAACAAGTGCAGAACATATGCTGCATTTGGAGGAGTAGGATAAGTGCAGAACATATGCTGCATATGGAGGGATAGGATAAGTGCAGAACATATGCTGCGTTTGGAGGAGTAGAAGTGCAGAACATATGCTGTGTATGGAGGATGAGGATAAGTGCAGAACATGTGCTGCATATGGAGGATGAGGAGAAATGCAGAACATATGCTGCATTTGGAGGAGTAGGATAAGTGCAGAACATATGCTGCATATGGATGTTGAGGAGAAATGCAAAACATGCTGCGTTTGGAGGAGTTGAAGTGCAGAACATATGCTGCATATGGAGGATGAGGAGAGAGTGCACAACATATGCTGCATTTGGACGAGTAGGATCAGTGCTGAACATATGCTGCATTTAGAGGAGTAGAAGTGCAGTACATATGGTCTATTTGGAAGATGAGGAGAAGTGCAGAACATAATGTATGCTGCTTTTGGGAGATGAGGAGAAGTGCAGAACATAATGTATGCTGCTTTTGGGAGATGAGGAGCAGTGGATTCGGAGGAAGGCGGAAGGTATGGTTCGGAGATTTATTCGTGGTGTGCTATCGAGTTTGGAATGATTCCCTGACAGGGTCATTGGCAGCTATGTTCTCTGTGTTCAGGTTGTGAGGGAGTTCACTGAAGTCAGCCAGGAGCGGAGGATGATGATGACAACGTCCGTTAACCAGCAGCGTCTGTGTTTGGAAAAGTTATGCCAATCATTGAAGAACTTACTTCACATGGATAGCACCAAGGTGATCACAACAATGATCCCAGTGTTGGCATATATGCAGCTGAGGGAGGAATTTGATTGGTCAGGATTTAAGCCAATCAGGTAAGAGATGAACTAAAGACCGACAAAAGTGGTTTGGGTTTTTTACAGATTCCAAGATTTGTGTGCCCAGATGCTGGAGGCAATATATAGATCACACAAAGCATGGTCAATGTTGATTTGACTCTTGAAGTAAAATAACATAAATACAAACAATATAATATTTATAATAAACTGCCATGAAGTACAGGATTATAATATAATTTACTTCTTTACAACTATTGGGCAAGCTTATCTGTGAATAATGCTAAAACAAGAAACATCAGGTATGGCCATGTTGTGTTCTTATGTCTTTCTAGTAACTGTTGAAATCTGAATAGGTTGTGTCCATCATTTTGTGCATTAATGTTCTGGTACATGTTTGTATATTCATGGATATAAATAATTTTTCTCTGAAACATCCAACATTCATCATTTATTAGTTCTCATTGTTGAATATTTCAGCATACAGAAGGCTTGTCAGAGGAACTTTGTGGATTGCTATCAGACAGTTTGGTCAAAGTTAGGTAAGCTTGGATGTAAAGAGTTGACAGCCTTATATACACCTTGAGAAAAGTTAAGCACCCCCAGGATATTTTCAATGACAAATGAAACAAGTGCTGGAAAGAAATTGCTGAGCACGGATAAATGTACGTGATCTGTAAGAACAACCCTCTGACAAAAAGAAACCAGTATATTGTAGTTCAGCCACCACTGATGTCTTCACCCCAAACCAATGTCCCTTTTAGTGAGGAGATGCAGTCTTCCAAAACCTCAGTCGTCCATCTGTGACATGGAGCAGGGGCCCCTCTTTCATCCAACAATTGATTTTCCACCAGGCTGTCAGATAACGTGCCCGTTGTGCTAAACACCATGTCAAACAGAACGCTGAAGGTAGTCTGCCCCTAGGAGGTGTTTGATAACTCTAGGACGTCTTTCCTGCTGCTCTCAAGCGGTTCCTCAAGGTTTTGGTTGACAGATGTTGATTGTGTAACCGTTGTAGCTTCAGGATGGGACTAGTTGCAAATGGCTGTTGTCTTACTAATCAAAGCAGTGGCCAGATTTGATGCTTGTACATACTGGATTTTAGATAACCATGCAGATTATCCATGTTGTATCCTTTCTTAACAATGTCATGACAATATCATGTCAACCTCATGTCCATGTCTGGTAGATGATGACCGCTGGACCACAGGAGAGTTCTACACTATTGATGTGGAAGAGAACCTGTTCCAGACAAGATGCCCAGAACTTGTCTCACGTTTTGAGGAGGAATTAGGTGTGTAGAGTAACCATGGCAACAAGCTGTTGGTGCTATAAGTTTTTCTTACTCATAATCAGTGACTGAGTTTCATATTATACTTAGACCTGGCCTCGCTTAGAGAACTAATATCCTTGAAACGATATAAGGTGTACATTGCTCTCTTGGTATTGAAATTAACAGAATCAAAAGACAACACAACATCATGTATTCTCAATATGAGTAGGACTCTGTGACAAGGCAAAACAGAACTCTGCTATGATTACACACTATGTATTATTACCATTCATATGTTTATTTTGTTTGTAAAGCTAAGAAGAAGGTTCCTGTAACTCCTGGCAACCAGTCAAGTATCAGAGATATGCTGTTGACGCCAGGACCCCTAAGGAAGAAATCCGAAGATGAAAGACTAAATGAAGACACTCCTTTGAAACCTGGTTACAGTTGGCAGAAGGAAAATGTCAACAAGTGCAAGAAGAAAATTGACTTTGATACAACAAGATTGACATCACAGCCTATTCAGAAGAAAAAACGGGACTCATCATCTCAACAACAGAGGCAGGTGTCCAGTCAAACAGCTGTAGATGACGATCAACAACAGAGCCAGGTGTCTAGTCAAACAGCTGTAGATGACGATCAACAACAGGGGCAGGTGTCCAGTCAAACAGCTGTAGATGACGATCAACAACAGAGGCAGGTGTCCAGTCAAACAGCTGTAGATGACGATCAACAACAGAGGCAGGTGTCTAGTCAAGCAGCTGTAGATGACGATCAACAACAGAGGCAGGTGTCCAGTCAAACAGCTGTAGATGACGATCAACAACAGAGCCAGGTGTCTAGTCAAACAGCTGTAGATGACGATCAACAACAGAGGCAGGTGTCTAGTCAAACAGCTGTAGATGACGATCAACAACAGAGGCAGGTGTCCAGTCAAACAGCTGTAGATGACGATCAACAACAGAGGCAGGTGTCTAGTCAAACAGCTGTAGATGACGATCAACAACAGAGGCAGGTGTCTAGTCAAGCAGCTGTAGATGGCGATCAACAACAGAGGCAGGTGTCTAGTCAAACAGCTGTAGATGGTGAAGTAACATCTTTCCAGCAAGACACTGAGGAAGGGGATATTTCCAAGGGAAATTCAAATGACTCACAAGACAGTAGAGATAACAAACAAAGGTCCAAAAGTATTGGACGAAAAGAATCCGCTGAAGTGGTCAGCAGCTCTTGTCTATCATCTAAAGAACATTCCAGGGATGAAGATGAGTGTCATTCCTTGATATCTGAGGATCTGTTCTCTGATAATGATGATGTTGAAGGGGAAGAAGTGGTCATTATTGTAAGTGATAGTCAAGACTCTGACAGTGGTGGCACTCTGAGCAATGGGGCAAGACAGCACTTGAAACCCATGCCAGTGGGGCTAGAGGATCCTGAGTCCAACCCCCGAAGTGCAGCCAGTGATGATGTAATGGTAGTGAGAAGCAGTGACTCGGCCCCGGACCTGGCACTTGACCTGGACAGTGACCCAGCTGAAGCTGCTCCTGAAGCTGGTCCTGGGTGCTGCCTTGCTCTTGCAGCAGAAGAAACCAATTCCACCTCAGAGGATGAGGCTGTACCTAACATTGATGGAAATTCTAACACTTCTGTTATTGTGCTTGATTCAGATTCTGATTCAGATGTTGAGAGTGTGACGCTTTCTGGAACTGCAAGGAAAAGGACAATTTCCGGAATTATGCGAAAGCCTGCTAAGAAAAGTAAAAACACAATTAGAAAAGAACCTGTGAAGAAGCGGAGTTTGAAAGCAAATCAAACACGAATATACAACTATTTCCCATCTAAAAAGGGAACATAGTTCAGATCTGACTCTAAAATACAAATAAAACAGACAAAATCAAATGGAAAAATGTATAGCAGCATATTAAGTGGAGGAAAGCATATTTTCACACCCAAGTTAAACCCAGTGATTCTAAACTGTCTCCTTGGAATTAAGTGTCCATGAATTCACAACTAAACTTTCCATATGAACAAATACTCAGCTCAATGAGTAAAAGTATAGTAAGGATATTCAACAGATCCATACATATGTATGTTATGGTGCTATCATTCTAAGTGATACTTGAATGATCTGACAGAGTTTCAGAGGAGGTCCATCTGAGGGGTATGGTGATGTAGTCGTCATAGGCGCCCCATTCTATGTACTAGTGGTAGAGCATCTGCCCGGAGAGTAGAAGGTCGGAGGTTTGATCCCCTGAACGCGTCATACCAAAAGACGTTAAAATATGGTGCTTGTTGTTACCTTGTTATTAATGTTAAACTGTGGCATGGAATGTCAGTGGGATAGCACTATAATACCTGGCATAAGCCCGGACTTGTCCAAGCGTCCACAAACTCACATGCATGTCACATTGTTAAGTGCAATAATTTTGTAGCATTCATTAAACCCCATTTCCTCTCACTTCTTGCAAAGATTTTATTTCAGTTATGTTGTCTTATGTATAATAATATCTTCTTTCGCAAAACATTCACTGACATTGTCAGAATGCCAGTATTAGCATTTTAATGCCATTTGTTAAGGATGTTTTTGAACATTAACTTACAGAGGAAGAATGTATTGGTCCTTTTATTCATTTGATGAATGGATTAGTCTTTACATTGAAAAACGCATGTTGTATTTTTTGAATATCCATGTGTCCATATTGGTGTTGATAGACCTATGTATGGCATAGTGATCAGTTTAAACAGTATAATATTGTTGCCAGGTTGTGGTTTTATTCATACATTTGCTCGTTTCCATCCACACAGATGTCCATATCCATGTTATACTAATAGGATTAATGTGGCTTAATACTGGGACAGATCCATGAAGATCCCGGTTAGAATTGATCGTCAGCAACCATTGCTTGGCCCCATATGAAGATCCAGGTTAGACTTGGTTTCAGCAACTCACGCTTGTCATGAGTCAACTAACAGGGTCAGGTTGTCTGGCTAAATGACTTGGTTGGTGCATGTCATCGTATCCCAATTGTGTTGATCAATGTTCATGATGTCAATCATTAGGTTTTCTGGTCCGACTCAAATATTTACAGAGCGCCGTCATATAGCTGGAATCATGCTGAGTGTGGTGTTAAACAACAAACAAACGAATCAAATGGGTACACCACTAACAAGTAAGAGCTTTCTGTATACTGTGATGGGAGTGGGGATGTTCATGTACATTTCGTTGTTAAGAAACACATTGCAGGTAAGATCCGATTAGTTCCGATTTATTTTTTTCTGGTGGTATTTTGTTAAGTGTTTTATTCCAGTGATCTGCTTGAAATTCGTTGGTGAACCGCCACTATCTGTAAATGAACATTGAAGTTACTTCATCTTCCATAGCCAATACTGACGAGATCCACTTGTCCTTCATCTAGAGGTGGAGAACTGCATGTGATGTTTTTGTTGATTTTTTAAATGTGCAAAGTGTTTTACTGTTCAGTTTTGTTTTATTCATGAAGGAATTCTTCTCATGAGACCAATTGCGTTTTACAAAGACGACATAGAATGTTTTATCCCAGCTCCCAAGTGAAGAAAATGTTTCAACAACATGCTTGCCCCCTGTCAAGTGTTTTACATTGTTGCATTTAGTACTAAAAGTACGTTTAGGGATCGTTATGGTGCTTCTCATTACCAATACGTTCCACGTAAAATGAAAATATTCGAAAACCTGTCGCGATCAAACCATAACTTGCGTAGCATTACCATCCTCGGGGCAAGAGAGTTAACCGACTATAAACGTCCAGTTTCCACCCTTGCCGAATTAGGCTGGAATTCCGGGGTTACAGTTTGGCTGGACTAATGAGTCTATGCATAGTCCTATCAAAATCTGGAAACGAACTAGACACCCGGTTCGTGTACAACATGGATTTCAGCGTGCAGATGTCCGCCTGCAGGATTTGCAAAGCATGTGTACAGTCAACTGGGCGTCGACAGGTATTTTGCAAATCTTTTCATGTTTTTAATCAAGGTGCTTTGATGCACTTCGCCTGGTAAGACCCGTTTTATTACAATATACATCTTGATTATCGATCAGATCGTCTTGACCTGGCGCTGCTATTTTCTTTGAAGCAAATGCAAGTGGTGTGAGAGATGGAATCTGATTGGTCAATTGAAGGGACAAAGAAGGGAATAGTTACTGGTGGCGCTACGATCGAGCCTGGAAATTCCAGCCTAATTCGGCAAGGGTGGAAACTGGACTTTTAAGGTCAGTTAACGCCCTTGCCTCAGGAAGATGAGCATTACGAGCATTCCATATAATAACTAGCGCCCAGTTTGATGAAATTCTTATGGACAAAACATACCTAAAACATTCCCTCAAAATATGTTTGGCATTCAAGTCAATGCCCTTGGTCAAAGCATAACCATGAACGCTAGAAAATCAATTCAGACCTTGCCATTTTATTTATTAAAGGAACTGCCTAAAAGTGTATGACAATACCTTTATTTCAAAAGTAGTATTTATTATCATAATTTCTGTTTCAAGAACACCTTTAATCCTTAATGATGTTGACAATGTGCTAACATTTGTTTGTGGTGCAACGTTTTTAATGTCAAATCCCTTGGATTATTTTTAATTATCTTTGAATACGCATTTTGTTGTATTAATAAAGCTCGGAAAGGTATTATTGCTTCTGTCTTTTTTATGTCAGTATCACCGGATATCACGACTTACCAATGGTCGCAGTTGTCGCGACCGGCTGTGATAAGTTGTTCCCCCTTAACTGCTAGGATCCGCCGAATGTTGACTTTAATACCAGATTCATCCCATATTAAGAAAGCGGAAGTATGACTGGCCACACTGAGGCGGAATGTGATCGGGTTAAACGTCATTCCCTTTTCCCTTTCTTAAGACATCGATAGGTTATGTATTTATTTATCGTGATGATTACAAATTTATCCACTTAAAATGTCATAATAATCATAATCTAAAGCAGACCTATCCTTCAGCTCGCTCTCCAGTGCGTCAAGATGAGGTCCCGTGATGTCATAGCCAAACAATTCGAAATCGAGGTTAAACAGTGTTCTCAGTTTGTCAAGAGAAGATTCCGTTAACTGCCGATATGCCTGAATATAAGCTGCAGTCCTACTCCCTCTGTTGCGTTTCGAGGACGTTTTGTGTAATGTCACTACCATATCTGCGAAATTCTCCATTGTAACAGTTCTACTCTCCAGTTCAGAAAAAGGAAACTGTTCTTTTAAATCCAAGATATTTGCAATTTTAAATCGCCTCCATATTCTACGTAAAATGTCATGAAATGGCATATATCTCTCGAGATATTCTCTGTATTGAAAAGTCTTTCCAGTTACATCCAGAATTGAGTCAATTGTTGCCTCTAATTTGAAATCTTTAAAGACGAACCTGTTCGATGCATTCACTGTGCTGATGATGTGGAACACATCCGTTTTAAACGTCTCCATTTTCCCAATGACGTCAAACTTGACATTGCAAACGTCACATATCTGGGACGCGGGTTTGAAATGACTATCTAGGTATTTATCCTCTGTTGTTAGAACGTAGTCAATAAATTCCGAAAATGACACATCGTGTCCGTACCAACCGTTTTTCTGTGGAACCCCGCGAATGTCCTCTACAATAACTTTCCCAATATTCCAGAATGACATATTCGGCGTAAGGAATTTATCAATGTACGCCGAAAATAATCTTTGAAATGGATCTCTTGTAAACATGAACTTTGTATATCTTTGGGAAATTATGTCTGTGAGGTTATGACCTTTAGCAATAGCCTCCATGATGTTTTGTATGGCACCGACTCTTCCGCTAGAACACTCCTCGTACAACAGTTTATACGGTGTTTTCAGGCCACGAGCGTGTCGCCGCAACACTTGTAAGGTTCGTTTCCAGAACGTGCATCCGACTTTTGGAACTAAACAATACAAGAGTTTGTATTCCTCCGCAAACCAGGAACTGGATACGAACGTTGCCATTGAGAACGATGAGCTTGATGTGTTATGTGATTCACAGACGCTTCGGGCCTGTTCTTGACGTTCATTGTATAGAGATGTCTCTGTGGACCTCTAAAAACAAATTATATGTATTTAATTATTACATAACAACTGGTATATTAAGGTCACATAATTTCAAAATGACGTCGAATGCGGCGCAATTCCATGTGCACAGTTGCGTCCCTTAGGCGTGCCAGATACGTTAACCTCATAATCCAATCTCATCAGATTGCCTCATAGTCCTATTGTGGTTTTCGATTCCCGGTTCGCCTCAATAATGTTTATTGGTTTGCCAGTACATTACCCATGCTTGTGTTCAACGTCTAAGACTTGCGCACTTTGCCAACGATGCTTGATCATAATATCAGTCACTGATTTAGAACATATTTACAGGCTGCCCACATATATGCGGCGTTAAACAATAAACAAAACAAGCAAATTATAAAAAGCTGCAACTCTTATGGGTGGAAAGCTTATTCTTATTCTCCGCCGTGATATGACTAGATTATTGCAGCGAACATCAAACTCTCTCAGTACTTACAAACCTGGATATTTTCTTTTGTTTTCAGTTCTTTGAACAGCAGTTTATGTTGATTAATCTGCATCTTACTCAACCGGGTAAATTGAGTTGTTGACGGGTCTGGAAATAAGGTAAATGCATGTAGTAAATAACTACGTTGAATGGCAACGTAATGAGAATAAAAAGCAGTAAAAACCTACTTAATATTAAGGTGATATTTAAAAGGCTATGATAGATCGGATTGACTAACATACGAAATGTGACTCTCTAATTTTTTCCTTTATCTCCTGGAGTTTCATTATGCCCACATAGACAATATCACCCGAGTGTCTTCTATATCAAATATATCGACAAGTGTTGATAAATTTGATATCAAAAGAAAGGATGAGATACTGTTTATCATACAAAATCGGTCTTCCATATTTTTCAGTTTATAAACTTTAATAACCAGTGTTTTGGGTGTAAAAGTACAGCTAACCAGCATCAGTGGCCGAAAGATTAGTGATGTCATTTGATTGTGACATCATGGTACCGACTACGTTACAATGTGTTACAGTTTCATTTCAATTTCTCAGCCATGGAAGCCAGTTTTGGATGATTAACAGATTTGCATTTAAGAGGCATTTTTGGCATAAACTATAAGAATTATAAGACTGACTTGTTTGATCCAAGAATAGTTTGATAACTTAAGTTCTGGCACTTGCTCAGGCATGATTATTTGCAGTCCGGCGGTATATATATACCGCTCAAAAGAAGTTAAAGAACACCCGGATAAGAGAATGGGCGTGGCTTGTGTTGCAGAATAATGTTAATGATTTCGTACTGGCTACAGTTGTTTTTGCGTTAATCATTAAATAGCAGTATGAGAAGTTATTATTGTTTTATTATCTATAATAAGTTACTGCAATAGGTAAATCCATTAATGGAGTTATGTGCATAGTGTCTTGTCGTTAAGAGGCGACTAACGGGATCGGGTGTTCAGGCTCGCTAACTTGGTTGATTGATGCATGTCATCGATCCCAATTGCCTGGATCGATGTTCATGATGTCAAAGACTGATTGTCTGGTCCAGACTCGATTATTTACAGACCGCCGTCATATAGCTGGAATATTGCTGAATGCAACAACAAAAAAAGCTTAGTGTATACATCGCTTTTTTACTTTTATACTTCGTACAAACGAAGAAACAAATTGGAGTTGATTCTTAATTAATTACTGGTATTGTCATTTGAAAGAATGTTTAACTTGTTTTGAGTAGTATGTGTGATACATTGCTCACTGTGCCTGAAACATTCCTACATTAAATGTAACTATAGCCAGCGTATGTACGACTGTTCTAGATATCAACGTACCCTTTGAACGGAACACGATAAACAGAGCCACCAGTCCCGCGACGACAACGGCGGCAAATCGTTGTCGACTTCGTCTTGACCTCTCTATTCTCCACAGCAGTCGACCACACCACCTCATTCTGCAGTTGTCTGCCGTATCTGCAGGTTGAGATGTATACCCAAATAGTTTTCATGTTCAAGTAACACGATTCCTAATCACGCCAACTGAACTCCATGCTAGTCGAGAGCCGACACAAATGAGGTTCCTAACGCGACGGCGTGGCCGCTGCACATGCTGTCGAAAATTAAGTTGCCTAGCCCTGATTCGATTATTTACATATATACGATAGCTGCATCAATAAGGCAACATTTACTCCCTCCCTCGCTCACTGCTCCACTGGGGGACCGGAGGTATGTGTGTGTGTGTGTGTGGGGGGGGGGGGGGGGGGCGCGCCAGAAACCTATGATTGTGGGGTTCGAATCCCGGTTCGCCCCGATTATGTTTCTAGGTTTGTCGGCACCATACCCGTGCTCGTGGGTTTCACCGAAGCGGTAAACGACTGAGATCTGCATCACTTCGGGCTTTCCTCCCACATTAAGCTGACGCGCCGTTATATTACTGTCAAACTACTGTCAAACTACTGTCAAACCCAACTCACACATTGCTCCACCGAGAGTCGTGTGACATGCCTCACACAGTACACACATGGATGAATGCAAGCTGTTTACATCAATATAATGTACTCACCTCCTATATTGTTATGTCAAATGGTCAATATTTTCTTAGAATATGTTCAATATGTTTTCATACTTACTTCATATTTTCATAATCAATATTAATGAACAAACAGTACATGTGACATGACATATATCAGCGGTATATACAATGACGGGTAAAGTCAGTAAATAAAAGAGTTATAAAGTCAATAAGCAAAGGCCATTATGTACTTGCTATATAGACCGCCAAGTTTATCGGCACCAGCAGTAGCATTAGGATGTACTTGTACCAGTTTGTCCTATAATGGAAGTGATGCCCTTTCTGTGACTTACCTCAAGGCCTAGCGTCCCCCTATCAACATGGCTGTCGGCGCCCCAAGTCGCCTACTGTTCCCCTCTCAACCTGACTGTCGGCGCTCCAAGTCGCCCTTATGCAACGAAACAATTGAGATATTTCCACCAGCTGCTGATTGAGAGTTGACAGCTTGTATCCGTGTATTCAATGAAGAAAGTGTACATTTGATCCATGAATCAATGGTGTAACATATTGTATAAAATACAGTCTGAAAGATAACGAGTTCCACATTGTGTTATTGGAGTCATTGATGGTTTCTGTAATGACTTTATACTGCTGAATATATATTAAATGTTTGTAAATTTGTTTGTAACTGAGATTGTAGCGGCTATGATTTTCAGGGGATTTGCGTTCGTGCGTCCGTGCGAGGTTCCTTCCAAGAGGGCTCTTATCAAATCGATATAACACAACAGTTATCGATCAGTGTTTGTTAACTGTACTTATTGATTGTTAGCGAGGTACATGTACGTCTGGAAACGATAACAACCAAGTAATATAAAATTGATTTACATCCACAGTCTATGTTTTTGACGAAGGTCATGTATTATACTGTAGAATACACTCATCAAAAAAATAAAACGCACAGGTAGACTTTTAGTAAATTTATTGTACCTAATAAAGTCGATATAATTAATTAAATATCATAGATACAAATATGAAAATTTGCAGCTAGATAGTCACATGTTGTCGTTGTACGAAGGCATTGACAACTGTTCATTGCCATGTCACATAAGGCCACAAGGTTGCGTTGAACTGGGCAGCAATCACGGCTCTGCATCTCCTCGGCACTGACACTGAATAAGTGTACGAATTCTGTCATGCGGAATTCTACGCCTTTCTGCTTGTAACGCGTTGGCCAGTTGTGGGAGTGTCTGCAGAGTGTTCTGACGTTGACGTACACGTCGATAGAGTTCATACCAGAGGCGTTCGATTGGGTTACAACTCTGGAGATCTCGACGGCCAGGGCAAGACGTTGATGTTGGCATTATGAAGGTAGTCTACCGTGACACGAGCTGTGTGCGGTGGCGCGTTGTCCTGTTGAAACAGCTCCCTCTGGCGGTCAATGATTGAAAGAAGATGGGGTTGAAGAATTTGATTCATGTAGCGATTTGATGTCAAATTTCCCTGAACTAAAACCAAGTCAGATATAGTGGTGTAGGATGTGCCACACACACACACACACACACGCGCGCGCGCGCGCGCGCACGCACACACGCACGCACGCACACGCACACACGCACACACACACACACACTCCATCACACGATCGAAATTATCGAATTCACGTACACAATGTGGGGTAAAACGCTCATTTCGGAGACGATAATCACGTTGTCTTCCATCTCGCCGGTGAAGAAGAAATCGTGATTCATCGCTAAACCACACTCGTCTCAAGTTTCTCAAATTTCAAGGCTGTAAGGTATGGCACCAACGCAAGCGTCGCTGTCGATGGATCTGTTGCAAAACAGGGACGATAACTGGTCTTCTGGGTCTGATTCAAGCCTCACGAAGACAGTCTGGTCCGATATCCTCCTCAAATCAGGGATGCGTCTTGCAGTCTCCGTTCTTGCAGGCGGGATCTCGGACGGTCTGCAGTGGAACTGAACAGAGCGTATCGGTCCCAAACGCGGCAAATGATGCTGTGGTGTGCAACAGAAGACTGCGATTCCCCTCTTTGGATACGTCCTATGGCGATGTTCCGATCGGCAGCGCTGAATCTCGACATTTTCGAGCTTGTTGACAATTGAATGACAACTTATTGGCTTATGCTTGCCTTTTAATTGGCACTACCACGAGTTACGAATGCCATAACTTGCACGTGCATTTTGCTCTACTGTTTTCCTCCATGGCATTTTTGAACAAGTGTGAAAACAATGCCGTTTAAGACATTGTAGACGCACCGTTTGCCTAATATCAGGCCACCAGCATTTTCCAATAACATATATCCAATTTATACACCGGATTTTTGTGTAGTCAGGTTCAATGAACTACGTACTACCTGTGCGTTTCTTTTCTTGAAGAGTGAATATAGTTCGTCTCCATATAGCGATGCTGTCAGGCAGCCGATACGTTTCTTGTCAGCTACCTCAGAATAAAAACGATATAATATCAAACGATAATCATACTATACTCGGTTTTATAGTGACACGCATTCTAACATTTAATAAAAACGACAAAACCTTTTCCATAACAATAGGAAATATCATAAGCATCATAAGAATCACTATCAAATAATGGAGATGATATCAGATTTTAGAGAAAAGTCCCGTGAAGATCCGTTTTTGAATCGAGCTTCAGAAACCCATGTTTGTCTTGCTCGCAGTCAGGTTCGCAGACTTGGTTGATGCATGTTATCACACCCGCATAGCGTAGATCGATGCTCATGATGTCAATCACTGCATTGTTTGGTCAAGACCATGCATTTATTTGCAGACAGCCGTCACCTGATAAAACACGGGAACATATTTTCCACCCGAAAGGAACATAATTTTTGTCACTGATGCGTCAAATGTGGAAATGTCAACATTTCTGCCATGACACGTTTTGAAAGATTTACTTAAGTCTTGAATGTTGTAACCCTGATCAAACAATTTATTAGCAAGAATCGTATGACGCTCTTTGAAATCTTAGTTGAAGGAGTCTGCTCGATTGTACTTCAAAAGTTGTGAAATGTAGACACCAAATTAAAGCTGGAGCTGCTGGAATATCGCTCGACATGAAGAACAAACAATTTGTATAGAGACACAGCAGACCCAGAACAAAAAATCCCAGGCTCCTCAATATTGTTTGTTTGTTTGTTTGTTTGTTTGTTGTTTAACGCCGCACTCAGCAATATTCCAGCTATATGACGGCGGTCTGTAAAATAATCGAGTATGTACAGCTTGATTTACTTGATGGATTATTTGTTTGTTTCAGAGAATGACCCATGATGAAATAAACTGCCCGTACGAGTGCATGCACTTTGGAAGCTCCAAGCTGCCATGGTAAAACAACAGCTTCTCTCGCGATACCATCACTTTCCCTCACACTGATTTTCGCGTTCCCCCGCAATACAAAAGCATTCTCTCGCTATATAGAGGCTGCCAACCCCTTTTGGTACGCGGAACTCGGGGTCTATTTCGAGGGTATACGGGACTCAACAGTGTTGAATGCGGGACGCAAATAAAATCGTATCTCATTCGCACATTCCAAAGAATAGTGGTGCACATGAAAATGTAATTTTAACATAGTTTTCAGTTGTTTCACTTCAAATCTAGCCCTTTTCTCAATGCTTCTGTGTGTGTGTGTGTGTGTGTGTGTGTGTGTGTGTGTGTGTCTCTGTGTGTGTGTGTGTGTGTGTGTGTGTGTGTGTGTGTGTCTGTGTGTGTGTCTGTGTGTGTGTGTGTGTGTGTCTCTGTGTGTGTGTGTGTCTCTGTCTGTGTGTGTGTCTCTGTCTGTGTGTGTGTGTCTGTCTGTGTGTGTCTGTCTGTCTGTGTGTGTGTGACTGGACTGATTCTTGTTCATCGTGCCCCATGGACCTGTGTCTCTATTGTTTTGAAACTGCCGGGTTGTAGTTTGACAATAGATGAATGCAGCGTTAAACAACACTCGCTCACTCACACCCATTCATTCGCTGATACTAGTAAACCAGTATACATGTTTCTCTTTCATTTGGATTATTCGTACAAAGCCCAGCTATACTATCAATGAAAACAAGACATTGTTTTGATGATTGTGTTTTATGTAACATATTTCAAACCGGATACAATAAATAATGTGCATATTGATGATGCCGATGAATTGTGACACTGGAGCGACATTCTTAGTAGTAGCCATATCCTATACCTGCAACAAAAAGAAGAGGTTTTTGTATAAGAAGATATTCCGTGCAAAGCCATTTCTTACATGTTGTAATCATTTATATATCGCCTCATACCGATAGGATAGATATGTCGCGTGTGGCAAATCAAAGCGAAAAATAAATTAGGTGTAATTAAGTTACTTAATATCTGTCAAAGTATAAGGTATATTTGAGAGTCAACAATATTCTCGGCATGATTGTATTTGCATTTACCTTTTCCGAAACCTCCAATTCCTCCGTACAGTCCTCCGATTCCGTAGCCTCCGTATAGACCACCCATTCCGTAGCCTCCGTACAGACCACCCATTCCGTAGCCTCCGTACAGTCCTCCCAATCCGTAACCTCCGTACAGACCTCCCATTCCGTAGCCTCCGTACAGACCACCCATTCCGTAGCCTCCGTACAGACCACCCTTTCCGAAGCCTCCGTGCAGACCATAGCCCACAGGCTCAGCAAAGGCAGCGACAGCCAGACAGGCAACAAGGGCGATAACTTTCATCATTTTGGAAGGCTGGAAAGGAGTTTTTCATTCATTATTAAAGTCTTCTTAGACTTGGTACCGTTTTCTATGAGAAAAACACTTTTTGTACCTTGTGGTCGCTATTTTACACTCTTAATAATATAATCAATATTACAAATAGTAATCAGTAAAAGTGTTGAAATGTTATCACAGCAATAACTGCTGACTAACAGGCATAAAACTGTAATGTAAAATACAGCGTTAATAGGGACAGCCTGAATACCCCGTAAAACACAAAACAACTGATACTTACAGAGTGTGTTGATTAGACTGGATCTAAACGTGAAGAGAGGCGACAGCAGTGATAGCTAGCACTTGAAAACAAGACGCTTATATACACCTGTATTCGGTCCACACCCGGAACTGACTAATTACAAGTATATTATCTAATGTAGCACCAGTTTGCAACACCTTTTAAGAATTATTGCTGATATGAATTGTGTTATTCTATGCCCCCAGGGACTATGTCCAATGCAATGTATGTGTGTAGGTGCGGGCGAATGATTAGGGAAGTAATTACATCACTGACAAATGACCCGTGATGAAATTGCGTCGATATGCGTAGATTCGTCTGTATAAGTATCGCCACAGATCAGCATAACCAGTGTTTTCCTATTCAGTCTTCCTTTGGCAACATAATTCACCACAGGCCATTTCTGACAAGAACAATTCTATCACAATAACCAAGTTAACGGTATTAGTATAATATTAAGTCGAAATTGTGCGATTCATTTCACCTCTGAGATGCTGAGTCCATA